CGATCCGTAGCAGGGAATGTACAGGCAATGTGCGCTAAGGCATAAGTAGGCGCAGGGATAGGGGGGGGGAAATGACGACGATAATGGGAGGGGCGAGCAAATGGCGATGGATGACGACGGTAATTGTGCTTCTGGTGATATGCGATCTGATGGTGACGGCTGTCGCGGTCGTGGGAGACGGATTTATGAACTTGCAGGTGGCATTAGCAGGAGGGGAGAGTGAGTGGGTCGGAGCTTACGAACTTGCGTGCTCGTTCTCGCTCCGCTCGGTGTGGCGACTGTGCAGCGACTCGGCCGACTGCCGAGCCGAGTTGAAGACGGAAAGCAGATCCTTTGGCACGTCCAACATGTGGTTCATCTTCTCGACCTTGGTGATGATGTATTCGTCCACCTCGGAGACGGCGGGGCTGCGGCTTGCGTCGCGGCTGGGCGAGGCCGAGGGAGGATCGATGTTGGGTCGGAAGGCGCTGCTGACGTTGCTCTGCGAGTGTTTCAGGAAGCCACGCCAGCTCTTGGGCACCATCGGGATGCGGTCGTCGATGTGGATGCCCTGGCTCTCGAGCTGCGAGATCTTGTCGGGGTTGTTGGTGAGGAGACGGAGCGAGGTGATGCTGAGATCCTTGAGGATGGCAGCGGCGATCTCGTAAGACCGGGCATCGACAGGGTGGCCCAGCAGGACGTTGGCCGTCAGGGTGTCGTGTCCTTGATCAATCAGGTTGTATGCCCTGTCGGAGGAAGCGAAAGGTCGATGTCGGCGGGTCAGCCAGAGCGGGTGCTGAGCGAGAGCCCAGAGGCAGGGGCAAGCGGGATACGGAGAAAGATAGAAACGGATGCAGACGGGTGTAGACGACTCAGCAACCAAACGGGAAACAGCCAGATGGCCAAGTAACAGCCAGATGGCCAGGTATAGCCGGACACACTCACTTGAGCTTTTCCTTCAGGCCAATGCCTCTGCCTTCCTGCTTGAGATAGATGATCACGCCCGATCCCTCTTTGTTGATCAGCGACATGGCATCGGCGAGCTGTTCAGCTGGAGACCACCAGCCATTGCCGAGAGAGAATGGGACCCAAGTGCGTCGTGGAGGGAAGATTGGAAGCAAGAAACAGAGAGGGCACGGCGTTGGAACGTGGCGATTGGATTTGTCGTGCCAGAGCCATTAGGACCGCCAACCATGATGCCAACAAAAGTCGATGCGGAGTCATGTAGAGGGATGAGAAATGATGTTTAGATGCCAGAACGGGAGCCACAGGCGAGTCAGATTGCCGAGCTTGCTGTCCATGTGTCGGTTTCTTGGCTCTGGACGGCGAGACCGACCCGACCGACAAAGCGCAGGCAAGCGACGAGCCATCGTCAAGGTTGTGCTGCAACAACCCACGGAACGTCCCGGCGAACATGGAGACCAGAGAGGAACAAACCGTACCGCAGTCGCAGCGAGCCGATCCCAGGGTCTCGCCTGTGAAGCATGCCGAGTGAATGCGCGTGAGGGTTGGAGGATGATCGTGGTGGTGGATGTGGCCGTTGGTGCCGTTGGTGCCGTTGATGCCGTTCAGTGTTGGTTCGGTCAGGCTGGTGGGTGGTCGGAGCAGCGCCTCGCCGGATGCGATCTCCGGCGAGTCTTCGCCAGGATGGACGGCCTCGAGGGAGGTCGAGACAATGTCGTCGCCATAGACGATGGCCAGATGCTCCTCCGAGTCTTGGTTGTTGGAGTAGAGGAAGAGCCAGCAGGTGCCGCGATGGTCAAAGGTGGGAATCCGGGCCTTGACGAGACAGTCGACCTTGACCTGGACGTCGGATCGGGTCGGCATGGTTTGCATCGGGACGGGAGAGCGGGGAGGACGAGTGCGATTGATGGATCTGGGAATATCCAAGCGACAGCAGGTTGGCCAGGACGATGGCCAGGACGATGGCCAGGACGATGGTCAGAGGAGAGCAAAGGTTGCAGAGCGCAATGCGGATACAGCAACGGAGTGAGCGAGTGAGCGATCGGGGCGCCAGACGATCGACAGCAATGGAAGCAGTCGGAAACGATCCTGCGGACGGACAGGTGCCCACAGGATATATTTATACAATTTATACATCCGAGGCGCAGGCGCCGAGACACTCACTTGCGGGGAGGAGAAGGGGGGGGGATCGGGGTGGCAATCGCAGGCCGGCTCGTCGTTGATGAGAAATGCGCAGACCAAACGGATCTGTGACCAGAACGGGGCGTGACCCAAGGACGGGCGTTTTTGCACTTTTTCTTTGGCCCAGAGGCGATTGGGATCCGGCAAATGGCCTGCCAAATCGGGCAGGCGATGAGCCAATGGGATTTGTCAGCCCGTGATTGCCAGCTCCGACAAGGCCAGGGCCGGCTGGGGATGGGTGCGGCGTGTTGGCTTTGCCGATGGCGGGATGGTGGGTGGGATGGCGGGTGGGCTGGCGAGCATTGCCGTCGATGCGAGAGCAGGAGGAGGGGGATTGGAGCGGGATTGGTGAGGAGGGCGATAGGCAGCGACAGGACCGAGTGCAGCAGCAGGAGCAGCAGCAACAGCAGATCCAATGGCCACGGCCCGAGAGGCTTTCAGGTGCCAAAGGCAACATGAACGCAGGCCGAGGCCGGACGAGCACATGCCAGAGCGCAGCAACGGCGCGAAACGGGCGCAGGAACATGCATGTATTCATGTATTCATGTACCAGAAGAGCAGAAAAGCAGCATGCAATCGATTCCAGAACGTGCGACCCGGCTCGCTTTGCACCATGAAATGATTCAGAAGTGGTGTATCCCCTCCCCTCCCCAAAAATAGCAACCTCGGCGATGCAATCACTGCAACGGGAGGACCCGCAGCGGGTCCCTAATATCGCTGGGGACTCGTAGCGCCATCGCTGCCGCAGAGCTCGAGGTAGTCCCGGGGCAGCCACGGTCCAAGGGCCGTCAGCATCGAGTTGGGGCCAGCCGGGTTGTTGGAGGAGCCAAAGTGCTTGAGCATCGTACGCAGATTGGGGGTATTGATGTCGCGGACACGAACCAGCCGGCGCATCTTGGCGTCGATGCAGCACCGATACGTTGCCCTCGACAGCCGCTGGATGGGGCGCACGGACCGCAGCAGCTTGATGTATCGAACAAACGGATGATCGCTGGGCTGGATTTCGTTGCTGTCTTTGGGATCCGTCAGAGCCTTGAGGTCCTCAAGACTTATTTGATGGCTGTAGCTGCTCTCTGGCTCCATTGCCATGTGGATAAAGAGCGTCTGTGGAAGTACGGGTTCGAAGCAGCATCAGGGTCAGCGCAGATCGAAGCTGGGGCACGATAGAGGTGGCGCAGCATGACAGCAACGACCATCGCGCAGCAAAGACAGCAGAATCGGGGTGTGGGGTCGCAAGTCGTGCAGTCTCGCCTTCAACCGCGCTGGATCTCTTGGCGGTACTCACTGTGGTCCAGATGGTGATGAATGGGACTACCGTTCCAATATTAACGGCCTCCAGGGTCGGATCGACAGAGTCGCAGGCCAGGATCAGGCTCTCGATCGACTCGCGATACATTTGACATCGGCGGTAGGTTGGCAGCGAGCCCGCGTCCGCGTACGGGCTGGTCCAGAGTTCTGCGTGACCCAAGGCAGGCGTGAGTAGCTCGGGTGAGTGGCTCGGGATCGACAAGCAGCAGCAACAGCAGATCCAAGAGGCCGGATGCGAGCTCCACGGGATGCATGCGACACGGCCATGGCCTACCTTCGATCATGCGCGGATATTCGACGCACAAAACGGTGCAGTAAAAGGCAATCAACAGACTCAAACTGTCCACAGTTCCGCCAACGTCCTTTGGGGCCGGTAAGCGCAATCGCTGTCTTGCGGCAGCAGCTAGGTCGCGCACCCAGGCGGGCAAGCCGTCGAACCAAAGCCAGAGCTTCTCGGCGCGCGACTCTCTCCATCGGTGGTACTTTTGGATGTAGCCCATCTGCGCGTTGGCGTCTGGACAGAGCTGTGGAGGGCCGTTGTTGTAGATAGAGAGGAACGGAGTGGCTTCGTAGAATATCTCTTGCAAGAACACCAGCTGGTCCATGTGTTCGTATATCGACGGCGGCTCGCTGAGACGACGCTCGCTCGCCGAAGTGACAAGATGTTCAAGCTGACCGAGGCTCGAGCCGTAGCCGTTCCAGTTGACGCTGACATATGGCCCGTAGCAGCTGCTTTTGAGCTTGAGCTCCAGAAGAGTGCAGTGGTAGAAGCTCCGGCGCAGAATCTCGAGCTCCTCTCCGCTGTGAGATGAGGCACCGGGTCGGGAAGACCCAGTGCAATCGGCTTGTGCTGAAGCTGCAGTCTTGCCAAAGTGAATGTGGTGCAGCTGCCAGACGAGCCGGGCCGCGACATCGACGTAGTAGATGGCCTTTCGCCCTGTAGAGCGGGAATTGCGGTATGGATAGTATGAGTGCGATGAGCGCGATGTGTGCGATGTGTGCAATGCGTGATACGGGTAATGCGTGATACGGGTAATGCAAGCAAGCAGAATACACTCGTGATGGAAGGGCCGAGTGGATTTCAAAACGCGGACACAAATCCAAAGCGAAGGACTGGCGCCCAACCGATGCAGATATCCAAACTACGCTGTCGCAGATGAGACTTACGCTGATCCATTACTGTGCACCCCGCGGCATTGGGCAGGTGTGGTGGCGATCCAGTCACGGATTGGACGGACCAGTTCGGTTATTCATGGTTGGATGATGGGTTAGTCACATAGAGGAAGTGGTTAGCCATGGTCTCAGACTCAGTGCGGCGCCACCGGGATTGGAGCCAAGAAGACCGAGCGCAACAAGATGCCTGGCAGATATAGAGACAAATAGCCTCCAGTGCCGGCCGACCGACCGGGACAGAGACCAGTGCGATAGATAACCAAAATGCAAGACAGGGTCGCACTCGCAGTTGATTAGCTCAAGGCGTTGCCATCGCTCTCGCTCCTCTCAAATCACTCACAGTGGGCATGATGAGCCAGAAGGAGAAAGCACTGCAGGAGCGGAAAGCTTGGGCGGTCCAGCTCCTCGAGGGCATAGCGCCGGGCCTTGTCGCTGTAGATGATCTGGAAGCGCTCCCAGAGGCCCTCATGGCGGGGGCCGAAAGGATGGATAAACGCTGTGCGACCCTGCGGGAGTGTGTGGCTGAACCAGATGCCCAGGGACACGATCATGCACTGGAGGTGGTTGGGACAGGCTTCGATGAAGCTGTCGAGCTCCTTGGGGCGGATCAACGCGCAGGGCAGACATCGCGGGGTGACTTGCTTCATACGCAAGGGTGAGGAGCGAGCACAAAGGTCAGTCCAGGGCCGGGTGGCAAGCATCATAGACCGGACAAAGCCGGGCCAGCGACGGCGCCGAGAGAGGGGAGCAGGGTGGTCGAGGACTAGTGGCATCGGTCGCCGGCCATATGTGAGCGTTGGAATGGGCCAACTGTCCACAAACCAAGATCGTGGGACGATTTATGGCACCGGCCACGAAGTGACAACTGCACCCGCCAAAGCCGCGAAAGCAACAAAACCGACGGGTACCTCGAAAAAGTATTGAAAGTAGACCCGCCGGGTCTCGTGAGGGAGATAGAACGGGCTCGAGGGCGATTTCCAGTCGTGCTGGGGGCCGCTTGGAGCCAGGTCGTATGCTTCTCGCGACGGGGGCGTTGAGCCCGAGGCGCTGCGGGCGGGTGGCGGCCTTGGCTCGGGCTGCAAACTGGATCTGCTCTGCAGCGACTCTGCGCCGGCTGGTCTGGGCTGGATAGTCACCAGCGCAGACGACCGGGTCGGCGCCCTATCCGATCGTATCGCCAGCGACCGCTGGCCGGTGTTGGCAACAGGGTTGTGTGCCGAAGCGGAGCCCTCATCGCCAGACAGCGAAATAGGAAGAGGACTGAGGTGCTGGGTCTGCAGCCTCTTGAGCTCCTTTGTCTTGACTCGAATGGCCTTTCTGAGGAGCTGGAGGTATCTGCCAAGGCGATCGATCGAGGGGGCGAGCAGCAAAGTCGTGGTGAGCATGGCTGCTTGTGGGAGCCGACCACAAGAGCGAATCGAAAAGCGGTAGAGAGGGCGTGCCGGAGGACGGGCCAGTGCGGCAGGCAGCGACGACAGATAAGAGCCGAGCTATTCGCGATGCAGGAAGCGGGTCGATGCAGAAGCGGCAAAGGCACGATGGGGCGGATCGTGTCGATCGCCGAGGCGATGGCGAGTGGTAGAGCGATGGGACGGCGAGCAGCAGAACGAGGCGGCGGTGAGCAGCAGAACGAGACCATACTTTTTCATGCTCTTTTCTCGATCGGCGTCCATTGACGGCAGAAAGATCGGGCAAGAGAAGGTCGAGGAGTAGCTGGCGGAAGTAGGATAGACTCCAGACGAAGGAGGGTCGGCTGGAGGAGCGAGCGCCAGGCAGGCTTGAACGGGGAATGGGAGCCGCAGACACTCGGCAACGGATAAAATGTCTGGCACGGCGGGGCGGCGGATGAGGCCGGCAAACGTGGGAGTGATGGCAAGAGATTGGATGGGAGCCGGGGAGAGGCGGGGGGGGACCGGCAACAGCCAGAGGGCCGGAAAGACCTGGAATGGAAGGGAAGGGCGAGTGCTTTGAGGAAAAGCAGAGCCAAGGAAGGCACACGAACCGAGAGACGGATGGATAGATGGATGGGGGAGGGCCGGCAAAACACAAGGGCCAAACCGCGAGGCCTCGGAAGGGCAGCCAACCAGCGGGCGAGAAACGGGAGTCGCACAGGCGGGGCGACAAAGGACGGCCGGGCCAAAGCGCGGCGGTGGCCACGGGCAAGCAGAACAGCCGCAGAGGCAAGGGATGCAGTGTGCCGAGCGGGGTCGCTGTTGGGATGGTGATTGGAAGGCGATTGGAAAGCGATTGGAACGGCGATTGAAACGGCGGTTGAGACGGCGGTTGAGACTGCCCTGTCGGGATGTGTTCGTGAGCGACGTCGCTGCCGAGATGTGTTTGTGATCGGCGTCGGACAGCCCGGCGTGTTTAGCCGCCCTGCGCGGGTCGCTCGACGCATCGGCTGCTGCTGCTGGTGCGGTGCACCTGGTCTCGCTTGTCTCGCTGGTCTCGCTGGCCTCGCTGGTCTCGCCGGTCATCCGGTGCGGTGTGCTGTTTGCTTGGTGCGTCTTGCTGCTGATCCCGTCGAGCCGAAACAGACCTGTGCCCAGCCGAGGGCGACCCGTTGTTCCGCGACTCGCCGGCTGAATAGCGCAGCCCGCCCGCCTTGTCGGCGCCGTGTGGCGCTCACGTTCCAGCAAGCCCTGTCGCGTCGGGCCAGGTCCGAAATTAGCCTGCATTTTTCGGGTGCCCTTGTGGCTTGGCGCTGCGCAGAGCCTGTGTGCGCAGCCACACCCTCTGTGCAGCGGCGGCTGTGTCCCCGGGCGCACAATCGCTGCCGGGTCCGCTTGCGCCACCGCGACTGGCTCCGCCAGCGTCCCACACGCCCCCACCCAATCGCGCTGCCCGATCCGGCTCCGTGCCGTGTCACACCGCCGCCGCTGTGTCGCTGCACACAGACAGTGCCGTGTCACCCCAAATGTGCACAAGGGGGCCGCGCGATTGGGCAACGGCAAAACCCGGCGCGTGTTGGCATTCCACTGCACCTCGCCCCCCATCCTGCCGGCAGAACTGCAGCAGCCACCACCACCAGGCCACCACCAGGCCACCACCAGGCCGCCGCTGTCGTTGGTGCTTCTCCTCTTGCTGGTGCGAGCGCAAGATCGCGATGTGCGGCCAGCAGCGCTGCTATTCGGCCTTCTTCAACCATGGTCTCGCATCCTCTCGCATCCTCTCGCATCCTCTCGCATCCTCTCGCATCCTCTCGTCGCATCCCCTGATTGGCTGGTGCATCCGGCGCTGTCTCGCACCATGTCACGTGCATCACGTGCACCCATTTCCAATCCCAGCGATACACTTCCAGACCCAACCCGAGCGGCCTGATCGATCGCTGACTGCAATCTCGCACCGCCATTATCGTCGCCATCGGTGAGTGCGCATCCCAGATGCCAGTATGCAAACGCCAGCATCCGATGGCCCACTCCATCCAGCTGCCCTGCCCATGCGTCTCCTGCATCTCCGTCCCCGCTGGGGCTCCCGCCTGACCTCCAGCTCGGGCTCGTTGCAATCATGATTTGGCCGACCCTTTCCGCCTGGCGTATCGCTGACTTGCCATCGCATCTGCACACACACCGCTGGATCCGACACCTGCAGTCTACCTTGTGCTATGGCTTCGCGATACCACATATCCTTGTCTGCGCTGGCAGCCAAGCGTCTCAATCTCTTGCCGAGGCCGCGATTTGTAGCCCCGTCGCTCCAACGCCTCTCGGCCGTCGGCGCTCGCTCGTTTTCCTCGTCGATCTCGGTCTTGAACAAAGCAGATGGTAGATCCAGCCTGTCTGCGCAATCCACTGCAGCCGCCACGACGTCCTGCACGACCTATGGTGCATCTGCGTAGCCCAGCCCACTGACAACCGCGGCATCTGCCCTTTCCGCCTCCCTTGCACACACCCAGCCGACAACAAGCCTCGCCCGATTTACTTGGACATGCAGGCCACCTCGCCCATGGATCCGCGTGTGCTCGATGCGATGCTGCCGTATATGACCCTGCAGTTTGGAAACCCCCACTCGAGAACTCACCAGTATGGCTGGGAGTCCGAGGATGCCGTCGAGACTGCCCGCAAGGTACGCCTTATCGGCGAACGATGAGCATCCGCTCGGGTTCGTCGACCCCGGCTCGGACTCGTCGGCCCCAGTTGTGCGACGGATTCTTTTTTTTTTTTCCAATCGACCAATGCAGCCGATCTAATATGTCTATGGTTTATGGGCCCTACGTCGCCTGTCGGTTTCTCGAGATTCGGCTATCTGACTCCAGCCCTATTCTTGCGATCTGCTGCTCCGGTGGCCCGCAACTCCACAGCACGTCGCTACCTTGATCAACGCCGATCCCAAGGAAATCATCTTCACCAGCGGTGCGACGGAATCCAACAACATCAGTATCAAAGGTGTCGCTCGCTTCTACAAATCCAAGAAGAATCACATCATCACCACCCAGACCGAGCACAAGTGCGTGCTCGACTCGTGCCGTGTGCTGCAGGAAGAGGGCTTTGAGGTCACCTATTTGCCCGTCCAAACCAACGGATTGATCGATCTGAATGTAAGTCGGGCACGGTCAAGGTTCGGATGTCAGATGTTGGCTCTGTTGCCCCAGCTGGTTCGTTCGAGGCACTGAATAACCCGCTGCAAACGCTGCCACTGGGCATCTGGCCACCCAATGATAGGCTCTGAAAGAAGCCATCCGTCCCGAGACTGCCCTGGTCTCCATCATGTCCGTGAACAACGAAATCGGTGTTATCCAGCCCATCGCCGAGATTGGTATGTCCTTGACCTGCCAAAGCTGTCTTCCTCCCTCCCCCATCACCTTCACCTTCACCACGCCATGTGCAATCAGACAGACCCATCATCGGCTGTCCTACAGACCCATGCCCCGTATCCGCTTTCAACAGCGCTGTCTCGCTCCAAAACTGACCTGGCTTTTGTCTTTCTGTGTTGTCCAGGCAAAATCTGTCGTGAAAAGAAAGTCTTTTTCCATGTAGGCATCTCATCGGAGCTGCAACGGATCTCCGCTCTCTCCCTCCCTCCCTCACATCAGGCGTGTGTCGCATTGTGTCCCTGGCTTCTGATCTAACTCGATCGTCACATGTCGCTTCATCCCCCAAGACCGATGCCGCCCAGGCGCTTGGAAAGATCCCGATGGATGTGCAGACCATGAACATTGACTTGATGTCGATATCCGGCCACAAACTCTACGGCCCCAAGGGCATCGGTGCCCTCTACGTCCGTCGTCGCCCGCGCGTCCGTATCGAGCCTCTGCAGTCTGGCGGTGGCCAGGAACGTGGTCTGCGCAGCGGAACAGTCCCGACTCCCTTGGTGGTGGGCCTTGGCGAAGCCTGTCGGGTTGCCAAAGAAGAGATGGCGGTAAGTAGCCCGAGACGCAAGCAGCAGCCATTCGCCTGCGCACTGACTGAGGGTATCGCTGGACATCCTCCCTTATCTAGTATGACTCGAAGCACATCGCAAAGTTGTCCGAGAAGCTTGTCAGCGGCATCACGAAGAACGTTCAGCACGTTGTTCGCAACGGCGACCCCGTTCAGTCGTATCCAGGTATGCATCCGCACTCTGCTTGTCCCCCTCCAGACTAATTATGTGGCTGCCATATGGGACGTCGTCCGAAGGGCCATTGGAATCCTCCAAGCGACGAATCCGTGGTGGCTCTTGGGGTAGAGCAACAATCGATGGACAGCTACCGTTGTGCTTTGACATACCTTGCTGCACTCACTCGCTGCACCCACTCACTCCCATGTCGCTTTGACACCTATCTACTGCTCTGGACAGGCTGCGTCAATCTCTCCTTCGCATACGTCGAGGGCGAGTCCCTGTTGATGGCTCTGAAGGAAATCGCTCTCTCCTCGGGCAGCGCCTGCACGTCCGCGTCATTGGAGCCCTCGTATGTGCTGCGGGCCCTTGGTGCTGAAGAGGATATGGCCCATTCGTCCATCCGTTTCGGCATCGGCCGCTTCACTACTGAGGAAGAAGTGGACTACACCATCGACCGTGTCACCCAGCACGTTGACAAGCTCCGCGAAATGAGCCCTCTTTGGGAAATGGTGCGTGAGCATGCGCTGACGTTGAGATATTATGGGCCGAAATGAGTGGCGCCTTGCGTCTTGGGTGTGGGACAGCATTGGGAGAGGCTCGAACTGGCCGCATCCGCCCCACAGCCATCTACGTATCGGAGTCTTGCGGGTGTGGGATGTCTTGAGTTGCCATGATTGTCAGGTATTGTCCAAGTCCCGTCACACTCACACATGCTTCTGTCGATCTCGCTCCACTCTCCCACCCCCACTATCCCAAACAAAAAATAGGTTCAGGAAGGTATTGACATCAAATCCATCCAGTGGGCTCAACATTAAAACCGGTCGCTCGATAAGTCGGTGCTCACCGGCACCGAGATGCGAGTAAAAGGATCTGATATCCAGCTGGAAACACACATTCGAAGTTGCAGGAGAGGCAAGATCAAGTATGACACCATTTTGTGGTCTGAGCAGACCCGGTGGGGCATGCAATTATGCTTTCCTTCTTCAAGCCCTGCGGCTGTCCTGCGGCTGCCCTTGAGAGGCAATTGCCTGCCTCCGCAAGTTTGGCTCGGATGTAAATACAGGCAGTGCTCAACCGAAACAACATGGCCCTTGCCACGCTCCGTCTCTGATTCTGGAGAGCCTCGTCTTTCCGCAGCATCATCAGTGCGGGGCATTAGCGACGACGGCCAGGCGGTGATGCTCATGTGTTGCGACCCATGCCGTTGTGTTTGTAGCGAGTGCTATTGCTGGCAGCCGAGTCCGTTCTCTCAAGAGGTACATCGTAAGGGCTTGACATTGCCCATGTGTCCTGAGATCTGCCGCGCTTTCCATGCTCGCTCTACCTTTCTACGCTCTGATTGTCTATCGGTCGCTGTCGGCGAAACATTGGGTGTTTCGCCTTCCTGCTCATGAAGCCTCTAGGGCCCTCCGTCCCCTCAATGTCTATGCTATTTCTATGCTATGCACTGCTCGGTCTCGGTTGATAGCCTGTAACGGCCTTGCCTCATCGGATTTGAGTGATGTCGATCGTCCACCTCTCACTTTTCCCCTACCCAAAAGGGGTGGTGAGATATTCACAACAGCGAACGCGAGCTCCGTGGCCTATTCGCTTGACTTGGGTCTTCCACGCTCTGCTGACTCCAGGACAGCATCTCGTGCCTCAGACCCGCACAAGTCAGAGGTTGGAGATGCGTGCTCACGGCGAGAGCACGATCCCGAGCGCGTGCTCGATCCTCTGGAGCCTGACGACGCAGATTGCCTCGAGCGCGATCTCGAGCTCCTGGGTTGGTTTCGATGGCGCGGCTCGGATCCGATTGCGACACTGGCGAGCATATCGAAGGCCCAAAGGGATTCGTCAGAGTGTTTGGAAGAGTCGCTGGTCCTGCAACGAGAAGCCTCGAGTGCAGGAATATGTGCCGAGCCATTATTTGTATATACGTGGGCTTGTGAATGCGACGGTAGATATGAATCTGACCGCAGATGTGGATCTTGATGCGGATGTGGATATGGGATCGAGGGCGCGTGAGTGGCTGATTTCGGATCCTTGTGCAAGTGGAGATGCTGAGGCGGGTGCGAGTGCCATGACGAACGTGGCGGTGGACAAGCAGCAAGATTGTGAATGTGATTGCGATGGCCGACGGAAGCCGGCCCATCCGAGCGCCGAGATGGGCGCATTGTATCGAAAGGGGCTCCGCGCTCGACGGGGTTGCTGTGAGCATCGCGGTGTGTCCCTTCGACGCCTGGAGAGGCACTTGCAGAGCGGCGGCCTGCACCCATCAAGCACCGATACGAAAAGTGCTTGTCCTCAGAGACATACCCCGGGCCGGGGCTTTGGTCTATCGGGATTGCTGATGTCGGGGTATGTGGCAGTGTGTGTATATGTGAATATGCGTGGGAATGTGTATCGGGACGGGGACGGTGCTGTGTGCGCTGGCCCGGTTGCTGATGCCGAGCACTTGGTGCGCACATGTGAGCATGTCGACTGGGGCTGTGAGACGCATGGTTGTGCTTGAACCCACTTTGCGGACTTGAGCTCGGGGGCACATAGCATTCGCGATAGTTGGTACGGCTGTGCTGGTGATGTTGCTCGTGTCTCGCTGGAGGCTGAGGGCGGTAACAAAGACAGTGATGTTGGGTTGGTTGTGGACCACAATCGACTCGGTTGGATGCCTGTGGGCTGCAGCATGCATCTTCGCACATCCATGACTCGGTAGCACTGCTAGATTCCCGTTCGAGGCTTGAGTTGCGATACTCCGAAGGCTCCCTGGATTGCTGCGAGGGACGAGTTGAAGGATTTGGACATTCGGGATGTCGATGCTGCTGCTGCTGCTGCTGCTGCTGCTGCTGCTGCTGCTGCTGCTGCTCCTGGTGGTGCGAGCGGCGACGCTCCAGGACTGCCTTGTCTTTGGGCCTGTATGGCTGGAAACGGTGGTGTTTGCGAGCCGAAAGCCAGACATGGCTATGGTGCTGATGATGGCAGGAGTACTCTGTGATTTTCGGCATGCAACACAGACAGCCCATCGGAACAGAGTCTCTGCTGCGGCCGTACTCGTCGTTGACTCTTGCTGGATATCGTTGACGAACCATGCTCATTTGATCACGCAGGTGGTGCTCTTGGTCGGAATCGTCGCCGGATCTCGGATCGGTGTCGCCCGGCTTGCGAGCTTGTTCCGGGCGGATATACAGAGATTGCATCTTGGCTGATGATGCGATATTGCTGGCAGACGTGTAGTGTGGTCGTCTGGGGACATGAGTCTTGGCCGCACACTCAGACTCGGCCATAGGGCTGTCGCTATCCATGGTGTGTGTCCTGCTGTCGCTGGTGTGTGTCCTGCTGTTGCTGGTCTGGTCCGCCATGACAGTGTTGCTGCGGCGCCCCGTTGCGCATACGAAGGATTCGGGGGATCGACAAATGGGTTGACTGCTGAGAGTGGAGGAACCGGTCTTGTCGCAATCGCCTTCACTTTTAACCCCAAGTGCTGTTCGTGCGATAGGCGTCGGCGAACGATGCGGCGTGGGCCCGACCGAGCTGGCTTCAGCACGCATCGTCGCGATTGAGCCGTCAACGGCTTTCGTGATCTGCAGGGGAGTCAGAGAGCGGCAACTTGCGATGGATGGCGACGAGGGGCTCGCCGAGGAGCGTTGGATGCCTGTTCCCTTGATAGTATAAACAGAAATAGTACGCTTAGATTGGTCGAGGCGGGACGGATGGAGCCTGGGCCGGGATAGAGTCCTGATGGGCTCATCCGAACTGCTGCGGGAGTCTGGTGGCGGACGGTGGGCATTCGGGCCTGGTAAGCATTGCGGCAAGAGATGCAACTCTGGTAAGTCTCAGCCATGCCGCCGGCTCATGTTCAATGCCCCGATACCGCCGAGATTTGCAGCTCGCCTGGCTTGCTCGGTCGTTTGTGCTGCCAGCAATCACATCGTACCTTCAGTGGTCGCCGGACTCTCGAGCCGGAATGCTGAAAACAAGTGTACTTTCTGACCGTGTATGAACGGGAGACGAGCAAGTTGATGAGTGGTCATTGTCAGCCAAGAACACAGCCCGCAACTCTCGCGAATGAAGCGCCAAACCCTGATCTGCACATCTGTCTCGGATGAATTCAGCGACTATCGCCCTGGCAAAATTCGGTCGCAGAGATTTACCTTCGAGCTCTTCTCTGACTCTTCAACCAGCGGTGCGGCTCTCTTCCTTCGATATTCGATTCGGATACCTCCAATCTTTTGGGTCGGTGGCAGGCTCGATGGTGAGCTAAAGGCGGCTCCCACGGCCTCGGCACTTGGGGCAACAGGCAGAGGAGCCTCCTTGCACGGATTTTCGGGTGGCTCAAGCAATTGTGGGGGCGATGAGGGCCTCAATCGAGCCAATCCAGGTTTGAGAGTCGTCTTGGTGATCGTGGGGCCACGCAGCGATGCCATGGACTCAGGAACGATTCCTGAATGCTGCTGGAATGGATTCGCGCGGAGGCACTTTCCTGGCTCGGGCTCGGTCGTGAGCGGCTTGTGCGGACCGAGCGGACATTCGTGCAGTGTCGGCAGCGCAGGAGGCGACGAAGGCGGAGGAGAAGACACCTGCTCTATCGCCCCAGGAATTCCCGAGATGCCAGCATCCGCGCCAGCGGGCGAGCTCGATCTTGATGGCCGAGGCGACGGGAGCCGAGACAGAACCGCGCGCGGCGAAGTGGTTTCCGCGAGAGTCTGGCCGGTCGCAACAGCTGACTGGGGCAGACCTAAATTGCCAGCAGATGCAGCTCCGGCGAGCGATACCTGGGGCGACTGTGGCCGGCAGTCAGACATGGAGCACGACATGGCAGCAGCAGCAACAGCAGTAGCAACAGCAGCAGTAGCAATAGCAACACCGCCGGGGCCGACGCTGGAGGGCGAGAGCGACGGCGATGGCGATGGCCGATGCAGGTCTGCGGACGCGTCGCGACTCTTTGGCTCCACATTGGCGTGGGATTCGGCCAGGGTCCAAGGACCAATGCCGCGGGTGGGGGCAAGCATGAGGGCAAATACGGTGGCTCCAAGGGCCAAAGAACAGAGGCGGCTGGCGGAGGTGCGAGAGGGCGAAACGGGCGAAACGGGCGAAACGGGCGACAGGGGTTGGGCAGCAGGCTCGAGGCAGAGGCTGGCACAAGGAGGAAAACTGCGATGGAACCGCAGCGCCGACCCCGATGTGCTGCCAGGGAGAGGCGGGCCGCTTGATTTCTCGCGGAGAAGGTGTCGGCCGCCGGCCGTACAGACGAGACTACATCCCAGTACAGAGCGGCAGGGTTGCGCTCAGAGGGCGCAAGTGAGCGGGGTGTTCGAGAGGGCCAGAATCAGGAAACGGCGGGGGATTGGCGCGGGCAGCCAGCACGGCCGACAGCGAGCCCGAGCGAGCAGAAAGTGGTCATTCGACGGCTGCTGAGGCAATTGACTTTCTCACACCCCACCATCTGCCCAAAGGCGGGCCGGGCCACTTGGAGCGCAGACTGGCGCGCAGATCTCAGCGCTTGTTTTGGCAGACTTGATCCAAAGCGACTGGCGGGATCGAGCCGCTGTCTGTAACAGACGAGTGTGTTCATCCGCGATGTTTCCAACGAGCGGCTCGACGCATGGATGTCTACTCTAACCACCGTTCATCTCGATGGGGAGAAGCAGGCAAACTCAGCGGCCGATGCGGATGCCAGAGTCGAGTCAGTATCGATCCGACAGCGCTGCGGGAAACGCTACCGCTCGGGCCGCAAGTGCAAGGCGGTTGGCGATCGGCAAGATGGCGGGAGGAGCGAGCGGCAGCAGTGAGCGGCAGCAGTGAGCGGGAAGTCCAAGTGCCTTGAAGAAGACATGCTTGTCTGATTTGATCGCAGAGCAACTCCGCACACAGCGCCATAAGACATTCCGCTTCGTGGCCGGTTGGTCCTGGTTGCAAGGACATCGACTCTCATCCATCATAATGCCCAGACCCACTCGCTCGATTCCCACGACGCAGTATAGCCGTGTTGCGTTGTTGCGTTGTTGCGATAGCAAACGCGACCTGTCTCGGACAGCGTACGCATCATCTCAGTATGGATTATATACCAGTCGCAGAGGCGCCAGTCCGCATTCCTGGGCATTATAGCCCGAGCTTGGCTTTCTTATCCGCACCACCGCTTGCATCTGTCGTGGGCGCATCGATAGTGTGCTTCTTAGCAGCCCCATCCGACGCTTGCTCAGCGGCATCCGACCGCTTCGGGGGCCAGTCCAGATGGATCCGAGTTACGTCAAGCTGTTGGCACACAGCAGCAGAGACTCCAAGCAGGGTGGCTACACATGGCGTCGTTCGTCCGTCGTCGCCGCTGATAAACTCCTTGACGTATGTGCCCGCGCTTGTCTTCATGTTCGCTCGAAATTTGGTGACCTCTTGAGCGTCAACGCTGTCCGTGCCACTGGGATCAAGGAATTCGACGCTCAGGTGCTCGACGCACTTGTTTCGAACCAGATCGGCGCGACTGCACGGTTGGAAGAACTCTGGATCGTCAGCATCGACGACGAGCTGCAGAGCTCGTCTTGCCAGCACAGATGACGCTTCGTCCCGCACCCAGCTTACCGCGGAACGCGAGTTGGGTTGCGTTGTTGGACCTCGATGTTGCTCTTGTCATGGAGTTTATCGAGAATGGCTTGCTTTGTGACGGGCTCGGCAAGCTCTACAATGCAGCTGGATGTACCACAGACATGGACGGAGGCATTCAAGAGTGATGAGAAAGCCATGGTGGCGATGGCATTTGAAGCTTGATGGTCCAAGCTGCATCTAACAGCTCGACAACCCATGTGTGCAGTACCTGTACGACTTGCTTTTGGTGTCCACCGAGTCTTTCATGATGTTGGTGGAGTCCTTGGAGACCACCTGCAAGTCGCGAACCGAGACTTTGCCCACGGAGCTTTGGTTGATACTCTCCTCAAGCGCGACCATCTGAGCACATGTCGGCACCAGCACTCGAGGGTTGATGAGCTCAAAGTAGAACGGACGGCCATCGCCGAGCATACGAACATCTGCATCTTCGCGACCCGATGATGCAAACCGGTGGGCTACAGGGTGCAGGGTTTGGACCAATATCAGTACAAGAGGGAGCGACAGAGTGTTGGCTGGACAACGGCAGGTCAGTCAGTCGTGGTGGCGCTTACTCGCATTGTTGAAGAGCTTTTTAAGATGCACCGCAATCAGCTCCTCCACAGAGTCCTCTGTTTTCTTCCTGCCATCCACAATCCACGGAGAATGGCTGATGTTGCGCTGGAGCTTACAATATCGCCCTGGTGGGGATATGTCGATTCAGTCGCATCCGAAAACAAGTGACGTTGGCTCGGTCCTTTCACGGCATTCGCACAATGTTTCAAACCAGGCAGCGTCGAGAACTGACATGGAAGACAAAAACATCCCTCCGTATCCACGATGGCATGCCATCCCAGTCGATCCGGTTCACTTAGCACAGAAGCTGTATCGTGGCAGATGTGGCCAGGCAGCTATCGACGTACCGGCGACGAAGATGGGCGCATGGGTCAGCCTTGGCTCGTCGTAGACAGTGTCTTGGCTGACAAGACGAGGAGGACAGTGATCGTGGCTACGGGGGCGTGAACAGATATGGTTAGAAGTGTAGCAGGAGCAGAGCGCATTCGCAACAGGATTGTGGTGGCAGTCACAGCCGGCGCCTATGCCATGGTGCTTGCCTGACATAGTGGTCCAGTCCGAGCAAACTGGCAGAGTTGGCAACCTTCTCCTGGGACAGGCCCTCGACGATCTCTTGGCCCTGGAACAGATAGCCATGGCTTTAGCAATGCAAACGAGTACGGCCAGAGACATTGGTGGACCGCGACCATAGCTCTCTAGTTTTGAATATGGATCAGCCTCTCGTCGTACCTTGGCTCTCCTGATCTTCACTTTGAAATTGGCTTCAGGAACTTTGGTCAGCCACATGTACTCCTTCTCGATCTCTCGGTTGCTGAACTGGACCTCCAGCATAAACGGACTCTGCAGAGTGCGGGTTGGAGGCCAAATCAGCATTACGCGACGCAGCCGCACAAATGCATTGAATAGGATTCAAGCGCCGTCGCCTTCTCATGAGCAGACGTTGGTACCGGCGGATTCACTGTTGCCTCGAGGTGATCTCGCAGCAAATGGCCCCGTCACTGCTGGACATGGGCCATATTCTTACATTTGGCTCAAACCTCAATCCAGTTGAGCGCTTGACTGCGTCGACAAGAAAGCTCTTGGCCAGGTCCTTGACCGAGAACGACGTGGGCTTGATGAGTTCCGGGGAATCACTGCCCAGCACAAGTCCAAAAGGGACGGTGAGACTCAAACATAGCATGCCACAAGGCCGCACCGCTCTGGCCTGTTCTGCTGATCTAATGCCCGGGGAGCAATGCGCTCTGCTTACCGGCTGTGGGAGGCATGGAGGGACGCAATCAATAGATCAATACATCTGTGCCGGAGGCTCAGGGCAACGGGAACCTTGAGGGAGGTGGTGAATGTCGTCGCGCCTTGGTACGAGGAGCCCGGGCTATCAGCAGTGTCGATGCCCGTCATCTCGCCAGCCTTGGATTTGGCGAGGGCGTCATAGTCCAGATGGAGGATATCGAAGCAGACGGAGCATCTGCCGCCTGCGTTGAAGATGGCCTTGGCTACTTCAGGCTTGCCGCTGGAAGCTGCAGGCGCCGAGCCCCCGTCCTTTGCAGCGGCTGTCGGCCCAGAGCGGCTCTGGGATGAGTAGTCGCCAGCCACGATGCGATCGGAGGGCTGGACGAGGGTTCGATGAGATCGATATCGCTGAACGTCTCGAACATCGAAATACCGCAGGATGCAGTACGGACAGCAGTTGGCTGAAGCAAGCACGTCGACAATGGCATCGGCATAATCGGCTGTGGCCTGGGTGCTGGGCGAGTTGGAGATGGACTTGAGCGCCGAAGCAGGGACGCAGCTGAGACGGAACTCGTGCGGCGAGACTGCAGCGAGCGATCCTCGGTGATCTTTGGCGAGCATTGTCGCAGCGACAGCCAGGCAACGGCGGTGAGACGAAAGCTGGGGAGAAGCAGCCAAGCGGACAGATCGCGAGGCGAGGGCAGCGGCGATCGGGGACTTGGTCCAGGACGGCATTCTGGCAGAGGAAAAAAAAAAAATCAAGCACGACAAACAGGGAAGTTGCCGACAAGTCAGACAACAGCAGACGATCTGTGGATGGCAAGCACACCAACGACATGACTGTCTGCTTCCGGTAGTTGGGGTGCCCCCATCGATCGGCCGGCCTCCAGGTGCGGCCGAGATACACCCCTCCACACCGATCTTCCCATTGCGCCAACCAATGCTACACTTTATTCAGAAAAAAACGGGACAACATAGCCGTTTCCATGAACATGTAGTATGTGCTGTGCTTGCGTCAAGCAAAGCCACAAGAAATAAAACAGATCACTTTGGCAGCCTCCGAGTGAAGACCACCGGTCGCTCTCCGGTCTCCACAATCGACCTGCATACTGTGATCATGTTGCGCGCCGCATTGACGTCGCGATTCCACACTGTCCGGCAGCTGGGATTCTTGCAGCTCCTGACAAAGTGGGAATTCGCAACACTGGGCGCATCGAGTCCTTCCAACCGAACTGGCTCCAGGCACTTGGAGCACACTTGCGAGGTGTTGAACTCGTTCGTCGAGGCCACCTTGACGCTTCCATGAGGGTGATTGGGACGGCGCCGGTGGTGCTCGAATTGCTCAAAGTACCGAGCAAACCGCTGCCTCCGAGGGCTGGATGCATAGCCCTTGCCTTGTCGCCATGACGCATTGCCAAAGGCGATCACCACATCGGTCCGTATCGGGGCGTGCTTCAGGACGGCCTTGCACATCCTGTCGACGGCCACTTGGCGCCTCTTGTGGCCCGTGAAGCGATGGTGACGGGCCTTCTTGCCAAGGTGGAAGTCGAGCTGCACCCGAAGCTCCGGTCGCAGGACATGGGTGAGATGGACCTTGAAGGCCTCCGAGGACGACACCTTGGGCGAGGGGATGGTCGACATCCAGGTCTCGATGCTGAGTCGATACTTCATGATATTGTGCCACTTGGTGTTGGACGTATGGCCACACATGTGCTGGTAGTGGCCATTGGAGAATGAGACCACCTCGTCTTGGTGGCCCGGTGCTTGGATGACCGCCGTGAAGATGGAGCCGACTCCAGGATCGATGCCAATCCAAGTGGTGCGATCGGGGTCTGGGTCGCCGATGTGGGCCTGGATGCGCTGTTCGGCAGTCGGAGGAGGCTCGATGGTCTCGGTGCGATCGGTTCGAGGCACAAACTTGACGAGACCGATGGTGCATCCAATGCCATCGGTGCTGATCTCGTAGTTGAAGAGCTTCTTGTTCACGTCCCGCTCTTGGAAGAGGGAACTACGCAGCTTGAAGCAACTGCGCCAGAGTCGATCCTGGTTGTTGACACCGTCATCACCTTCTTCCTTGAGCATGTCCCAGGTGAGGTCAAGGCGCTTCTTTGGACCAAGGAGTTCCCAGAGAGTGACGGTGTCGATCTTGACATACTTGGCCGTGGCAGTGCACAGAGGAACTATCGTGCACACGGCCGGAGGAGTGTCCAGAGCGAGCTGCTTGAGTGCCCAGTTGATCCTGGATGCCAGCTTGTTGATCTTGGACTTGGTGGTGCCGAGCTCAGACTTGGCCGTGGTGAACCTCTTGTCGTCGGAGGGAATGCCTTGGGCAGTGAGCTCGTCCAGCTTGGCCTGGCGCTGCAGCTCGGTGACTCGGAGAGCGGGCATGTCACAGTCGATCCACTTGTGGACATTGTCGACCATCTTGTCTCGGGCGAGGATTCTCACATGGTGTGAGAGGCGATGGAGGGCCCGGAAGCGGTCCTGGTCGCTGCTGTACCGAAACTCGTCCAGGATGTGACCAAAGTCTGGATAGAGGAACTCGATATCGGCCTTGGGTGGAGTCTGCCCTGGTTTCTCGAAGAGCTCGAGACAGGCCTCGATGGCTTCGTGCTTATGCTTGTTGGCTGGGAAGACGGCAGCACAGAAGCGGCGAAGGAGTCGCCAGTAGGCCAGGTCGAGGTGGGTGGTGCAGTTGGTAGCATAGGCATTGACAGCCAGTGTGAGAAGCTGACTGTGAGCGCCATCAGGCAGACGAGGGGCCGGAGGCAGGTCTGCGTGCCGAGTGGTCTGGTAGTCGCGAAAGGAAGCGACCAGATGCTCGTTGTATTTCTCATTGTCCCCGGTCGGGGAGAGGGCACCGGCCTCGACAATCCTGAAGCATTGACGGATGAAAGCAGGGGTGGACTTGGAGATGACGGGGACGGGAAGATCCTGCTCGATGCACCGGAGGATGTGCAGGTTGAGCAGCCTGGATGCCTCGAACTGGATCTGGGTCATGACCTCGACGGTGGCCTGGATCTTGTCGCGGAGAGCGGGATTGAGACAACAGCCATCCATCGTCTGCTTGAAGCAGCTGTATTGAGGGGCGGATGACCTTCCATCCACGAGTGGGACGACAGAACTCTTGAGGGGCCGGTATTTGGGACATTTGCTAGTGTTGCTTCGCTCGTGGTCGGTACCGTCGCACTGGCGACATCGCTTGCCGGTACTCGAGGAAGTAGATGGACCAGGCTCGGTGGGATCGACATCCATTGGATCTGCAGAAGCAGTGGTGGTGAGCGACGGAGCAACAGACGACCAAGCATGTGTGGGGTCAGAATACGAACCAGAGACAGGCTCCGACTGTGACTTGGCTTTCTTGGGCCTGGGTGGCCGAGGCTGGCCATCACCGGTACCCTTACGCTTCGGAGGCATGGGGGCAGAGGATGCTGGATGCCTGCCAGTGGTACTGGTCAGAGCAGAGACTTTTTTTTATCGTACAATAGCGCGATGATCAGATCAAGGCGAGGTGAGGGAAGAAAGCAGCAGGACGAAGGTGTGGCATTTATACCCGAGAGCAGGAACCCGTCTGCGCGGGCTGGTTGGGGAAGTGACCCTGTTCAAAAATCGCCGAGAGGTTCAAGCCAGGGATGTGAACGCGAAAACGGCGGCTTGATTGGAGGGAACTCAACCCCAGAAGCGCATCGCTCGCTCAATCAGCCGTGGGAAGACATCTGGAAGCACCCTCCGAACGGCAGACTCAAACAGGGTCACCATCCCGACTCTGAACCCCTCGGACGCATTCAGCGCTGCTGCCTTCCTGTATTGACGCTTCACAATCCCAAAGAAGTTCTCGATGGGATTGAAGTCGGGCGAGGCAGGTGGGTGAAGATCACTGACCATCCTCGGCGCTCGATGCAGTCCAGGACAGCCATTGTCTTGTGCATGCTGACATTGTCCATCACAATCACAGAGTCGTCTGGGAAGGTCGCTCGCTCAAAGAACTCGACCATCGAGTGTGTCTTGAATGATGTGGGGATGTACATGCGATGCAGCACACCAGAGTGGTTGATGGCAAATGCAGCCGAGACAGACTTGTGTTTCATGTGATTGCGCTGGCGAAGCGGAGCACCCTTCGGTGAGTATCCGTAGAGAGGAAAAATGGATCTCCTGATCCCTGTCTCGTCGACAAAAACGAGCCGTCGTGGGTCGATGGAGCGGACCTGGTCCCTGAACTGTGCCACTCGCTCATCCAGTCGCTTGGACTTGTAGAGGTGTGTTGCCCTCTTGTGTGAGAGACCTGCTCGGTGGATGGCAGTGTGGCAGAGTGAGAGTGATACTTTCCTCTGGAGGATGGACTCGAGCTTGCATCGCAACACAGGACCAGTCTGGAACGGGTCCTGTTCAATCAGGGTGCGAATGACTGGACATGCCTGCTCGAAGAAAGTGGATCTGCGAGCTGGGACCCGGGATGGGTCATCCAGCTTGCATCCTCGGTGCCATCGATGGATGGTGCTCTTGGATACACTGAATATGGAGGCGACCTTACGCAGGCTATGGATGAGGGCGTAGCATCGCAATGCGGCGGTGCGAAAGTCGGATGTGTGGCGAATGGTCATGGCCAGCGCGCGATAACATTGGGTAACAAAATATTCGATGAATGGTCAAAAACACGGGTGTCCCGTTTTTTATTGGATTGCCTGTAAAAGACAGGGGAGTGTGGTCTCAAGCCGCGCCCGAATCATAGTCGCTTATGGACCATCACAATGATGGCGAAGTGGGAATCTTCCAGCTTCGCGCACATCTTGATCGAGGTCCCGATGTTTTCTATCTTGCCCGTGCCCGTCGCCTTGATGCCTTGGTATCTATACCTCGGCGTCTGCGCCTGGCCGGCATCTACTCGACTCTCTCCACCTGCCATCGCTTTCAGAATGATTCCTGCAATCATCACCAAGCGGTCTTTGACCAAAATCCTTGCTGCCATTGCCACCATGGTCGTCTTGGTCCTCTTCATGAGAGACCCGCAACTGTCAACTCAAAATGGCCGATTCTCCAAGCTCTCCACAGAGTCGCACCCACTTCCATCTCCGGCTCTTCCGGTCGATCCGTATATCACCACCAGGTCCACTGGCACCCACAATTACATCCATCTGCAGCGCCAGAGCCCCGTGAACAACTCCTCCCTGAACCCTTACCGCGACGGAGACCTCGACAAGAACATTCTCATCCTCTCAAACTTCCACAACAGCCACTCGTTCGGAAAGAACCGTACCTTCACATCCTATCTCCAGACTATCGAGTCCATTGACTATCCGCGACATCTGCTCAGCCTGGGATTCCTCATCTCCGATTACGAGGACTATGAGGCCTTCATTCCCGAGTTTGAGCAGTTTGTCCGCCGACACAACCTCGCTGCTGCCTCGCTCATCCTGTACATCAGGGAGGAACCGTTCTCCCGCAAAGACAGACACAGACCGGACATTCAAAAGTCTCGACGCAGCTTCCTGGCCCAACTGCGAAACAGACTGCTCATGTCGACTCTCCGCGATGAAGACGGGGTCCTGTGGATCGACTCGGACATTATCGAGATCCAGTCCGATGCCCTCAAGCAGTTTGTGCGGTCGGGTCTCGACATCATCACGCCCTTCTGCCGATTTGGCACCGATGGCATGAGCAACTTTGATGGTGAGTGCTTCTGCTTGTGTCAGTTGGGTGAGGCCGCATGCAAGTCTGGGAATGCTCTCAGGCCACCAAGGTGCTTCCCGCTACTGAAGTGTCCCTGGTTCTGACTCGACGCTGTTAACGCTGCCCTCTGTCTTCTCCACAATCTGTCGATGCAGCGAATGCGTGGGTGGGAAAGCGCACCCGACCCAACGAGCAGCAGTGGAAAGACATCAAGGACGGCCGGAAGACCGACTTTGTTCCCATGCATGATGGATCGGAGTTCGTCAGCGACTGGATCAACAAGGAAGATCGAGTTGCAGAGCTCGACTCTGTGGTGGGTGTCCTTGTGGTTGCATTGTCGAATCGTGGATTGTTCTCAGCACTTTATCGTCGCTGTGTTTTGACTGGATGCTCTTCCACAACCACAACGGCCTCCGATCTCTGATACTCGAGCAAATGACAACACCGTCTCCCACTGGCATCGCTCGCGGGTCTCGACACTTTGAGCTGACATGATTCTCCACACTCCACACTCCACACTCCACACTCCACACTCCACACTCCACACTCCACACTCCACACTCCACACTCTGGGATCCATGCACTCCCCATCTCTCAAGGGCGGGACAGTGCTCTATGTCCGCGCAGACGTGCACCGCAACGGCGTCAACTTTCCCCCGTTCTATCTGATCGGATCAGACTGGGACGCCAAGTATGGCGGCTATGACGGCATCGAGACCGAGGGACTGTGCTATATCGCCCGGACGATCGGATATCGGTGCTGGGCCATGCCACACATCACCGTGTCCCACACCGCACAACAGGAGAACCCCAAACCCAAGGGCAATGCCGAGTGAATCCGAGTCACGCGAGTAGTGGAGCTTTCCGCAGGGGCCACATTCAACTTCACTTTGCATCAAAGTTAATTTCTCGAGATCTCTGTCTGCTATCAGCCTGTTTTATTGAGCCGTTCAGGCTGATTTCGAATCCATTCCAATCGAGGGTCTCATTTTATTGCACAAACACCGTGCCTGAGAGTCATATTTAACCTGGCTTGAAGACGTGGCACGGCCATGCTTCCGTCCCTCTCTCTGTCCCAGCACCGGCGATCGTTTAAATGGGCAAGGACAAATATCATCTCATGAAACTGGAGCGCCACAGTTCCGTATGTGTGTATTGGGTTCTGATAGTGCCTCTTTGTGAGTGGACGAGAATGCTCTGGGCCTCATCTGGTCCTTCTTCCCCTTCCCAAGCCGCTGCGTTGGCCGATCAGATCAATGCCGCTGCGATGCTGATGTCTGAAAGCACTTTCCTCAGGACTGCTGATGCTGCTGCGGGGTTGTCTTGCGGCATGCTGTGGCCCGCATTCAGCACCCTGAAATGGGTCAGCCCTCGGTCCGAGGTAACAGATCCGAGCTGTGAGCCGTCGGAGTTGGTCCATGTTTGGTTGCTAGACTGGATAGATCAAAAAAAAAAGTCAAGTTCTGTAACGAGAAACATCGAGCCAAGACCAAAAGCCGGGCAAATGCAAAGTCGTGTCCAATCGACTGGATGGGCCGGCATCGATACACCGATTTTCTTCGTTGAAAATGAGCGTACCGTAAATCCCGTCTTGCCCTGCCAGGTCAGCGATGCAATCATGGCATCTAGGCCGATCGAGCTTGAAACGATGTCAAACTGCGAACTGAGAAGACATTGCAATGACATTTAGACGACTGCACGTGTCCGGCAAAACATCATGGTACAACAGGCTTCACAGTCGCTCGTATACCTTGTGATGTAAACATTCAGACCCGCATTGAGGAGCTGGGTCAGGACAGTGTCGCTGGCTGGGCTCCCATCAGGCTCCAGAGCTTGTTGGACGAGGTTTGAGCAGGCAATGTAGGTGCGCGGAGCTCCCAGGATAAAATTGTGGGTTGTCAGGCGGAAGATGAGGCTCTAACAGAGGCGCAAACGCCGTATCAGTAGACCCGGCTTTGTGACATTGCCTCAGCATTCCCGCAATATTGACAAACGCACGACTGACTTGGATATTCAAACCATCAAGGTCCGCGCACTTCCAGCTCTCTGGAAACAAGCCGTGACTCACATTTAGAAAGCCGATCAAGACAACATCGCCGTTTGTGAACGACGTCGGACATATATCTTGGGTGCCTGACCGAACGTTGTATTCATTGAAGCATTGTGTTCTAGATGCAAAGCAGGAGCAGGATGAGAAGTCGCTCGCGAGTACAGGTGACGCTTGCTCGACCAGAGGAGCAATCGACAAGCGAGCACGTCGGCAGCATATGTGCATGATACCCGCTGCATGTTCGTGAAGCATGGTCACAGTGCATCACGACATCGGTGTCAAATTTGCCTCTCATTCACTTCCGCTGCTCACCCATTGGTCAGGTCACTGATAAAGAGTCGCATGTAATCCAGAAGCGACTCGCAGATGGCAATGTAGGTAACTGGCCCCAGTGCCGAGATTTGAGCCTGGCACGCTGAGTTGATGCCCTGGAGCGCTGTCTGGATGAGTCGATATGGGTGAGATTCGAGCTTCCAACCTGTCCGCCAGGGAGCCGTTGTTGTGGCAAGAAGGTTGGAGCAGCGCCGGCTGCCGTTTGGGAGTGGCGGGCTGCGATCTTACCAAAGCTGTCTGGTTGTTGTTCAGCTGCGTTGCCCAGTTGCTCATGATGTATCGGAAGTAGCCCGGGTACTGTTGATGTCGTTGCAACTCGGGTCAGGAGCAATCCATCACAAATCAACCCAGCTGCGGCCGTGGACATGACGGCGTGCCATGCACTTTACCTGGTTCTTGGGCTGGATCCATGGCGACATCAGCAGGAGGGCTTTGAGATTGATCTTGATGAAGCAGCACATATGTCTGGGTGAGAGTCATCTCGCGGCTGATCCAGTATAAGACACCACTCGTATTGGCACGGTCTGCTCAGCAAGACATCAACCTGCTCGGACATACCACACCATTGCTCGTATACGATGCAATGTCGTTGCGCAGTTGGATTGTTTGCGCTAGATATGGAAGAGTAATGCCTGCATAGCTCTCACCCGCAAGAATCACCTGGCAAAGCCGCAGAGTGAGAAGTTCGAGAGATCAAATTCTGTTGGTTGGATCAAGAATTCACAAACCCAAGGATGCAGCCCGAGGCTGGGGCGACAATCCGGTGGATTGCGAAGCAGGATCGAGTTTGACGACCGACGATGCAATCCCCGGTAGAATCCGCAAGAACTCGCTTACATTGGCGCCTTCCAAGCCACTGAAAGTCACCAGGAACCGCCGAATAAAGGAGTAGAGCATCTCGCCGATTTGCCGTTCGTCGGTTGCTGGCCCGCCCGAGTTGGTGTAGCTGAAGCCTGTTCCAACAGGCGAGTCCACTGGATCGATGCAAGACGAGACGACTAAGAACGATAATCCCGACAATCCCGACAATCCCGACACTCCGATCCAATAGCAATGGCTTCGATCTCGCTGGTGATGGTATTGGGGGGAAAGAGTGAAACGCCCGGGAACTACGCACCAAAGACGATATCTGCTTGTAGATCCCAGCTTTGCGGGTTGACAAAGACGCTCCCGTTGGTTGGGTAGTAGTGAAGCGGCCCTACTTCTTGGAACAGCGACACCAAGCTAATCATGGCCAAGAAAATGAGGGCGAGGCAGGGGAGAGCCGGAGGCGCATCTTCTCGCGGCATTCATTTCAAGAGCGGCATTCTCTTTATTCTCACCTGGAGCTGTGATTTCGGGCACGACACCGGCGGTGGTTTCGCGACGACAACAGTGGTTCAAGTTTGAGAATGAATGGTATGCAAATCGAGCTGTCTGGGATCGTGGAGCAGAGGACATGGTCATGGTACAAACCATCCGGGCCCGCCTTGAAAGTAAAAGATCTATAGGGGACGTTGTTGAGGCACACCCGAGGCAGATCAGAACGAAGCGACTTATCTCCGATTGCGAGAAGCATCGATCGTCGTTTACTGGATATTCTGTCGAATGGAGTCGAGTGCTGGGGCCATAAGTGTACCCACCACGTTTCTTGGATTGCTGGGGCTTGCTCGAGTCGGAAAATACCAGAAGAATGTGTTGGCGACATAGGACTGGTTTGCCACAGGACCCACATTGATGTAACCAGCGAAAGAGCCTTGGACGAGTGCCTTCGAGGGCGAGTCAAAGCCAGTGAACATCTGCACCTGGAGAGGCGACAGAGCAAAGCTTGTTGCTGGAAGGCGATCGACCAGGAGGAGAAGACAGAGACATGGGGATAAGAGCCAAGCATAATCCCACTCGACTCGGCTAGGCTTGACTGCGGGCACAATGAGGGAAGGCTGGAGCGGCAGATCAACATAGCGTCTCGAGGGAGTAGCGATCCGCCAGGGGTCTTACTGGATTGCAGGTAGCCTGAGAACCAGGGCATATTCCAGGGCAAGGCCGAGAGCCCCCGGTCCATGAGCAGCGCTTGGGCCTGCACAACCAGGGCAAAGAGCCAACAGAGAGCTGCAGAGACCATGGGACACTGGGGCACTGAGGATAACAGATGCTTGGCGAAATGGAAGGATGCACGGACACCGACAGGTATTTTGATCGTGAAGCCCACGGCGATGCCTGGCGAAGACGGACGAGGGGCGGGGGGAAGAAAGGATGCATATGACAGTCGGAAACGGATGGGGATATAAGAGTTGGATGCGGTGTCTCCCACAGCGGAGGACGGCCTGGCGACAGATGTCTCCCTGAGCGGCAAACGTCCTCGGCTGAGCGGTGCAGTTCAGACGAGGGACGCTGGCAATGGTGCTGGGTCAAAGCGCTGGCAGGGATCGCCGCCGAGCCCGGGGATCGGGGAGTGAGAAAGTGATAGCATGGAAAGCATGCTGTGTCCATCCTATGGGATCGATTTGCCCATGGAGTCGATTCGGTTTGTCCATGGAGTCGGTTGGTTGATGGAGTCGGTTTGTTGATGGAGTCGATTCGGTCTGTTGATGGAGTCGATTCGGTCTGTTGATGGAGTCGATTCGGTTTGTCCATGGAGTCGATTCGGTTTGTTGATGGAGTCGGTTCGGTTTGTCCATCAGTCAACATCGTTCAAGCAACACAAACCCTCTGCATGTTGAAGCGTCCCGTTCTACATAAACTCGGCAACTCGATACTCTGGGACAGCCGATCTGTCCTGCCCTGGTTCTCCTCTGGAGCAATCGCCCGGAGGCACTTCTGTCCCGGGTGGCCACTCGGCCCGTGGCCCCGATGCTTGCTCCTCCACCCGGCCCCGCATGACCTGTTTGCTTCTTTCGACGGCCCTGGCTGGCCATGATGGCGGAAAGAAGCCCCGTGGTGGTCGTTGGCTTTTCTCTTCTGCTGGTGGCCGTCGTCCTCCCGCGCGCGCTCGCCTCAGCGTCTCCGCTCTGCCCTCCGCCTCTCCGCTCTGCCCCTTCCGACCTTCCCACCGCCGTCGAGAGATTTAACCCACCGTTGAGCCGGTCTCGCTCTGTCGTTTCGTCTTTGGTCTTCTCTGCCCTCGTCTTCGATCCAGTCTGCGAAACATGCAACGGTGGCCCAAGCCCGTGTCCTTGATCGTTATCGTCGCCTTGGTGCTGTTACTCGCTGCGCTCTTCTCAAAGGTTCATGACGAAAGCGCTCCGCTCCATTCCTCAAGGCATGGCGGTGACCTGATCAGAGCTCACGGCGGCTCTTCGTCCCCCAGAATCATCATGGATACCCTCCGAGTGGTCAACTTCAGGTCGGCCGAGGCCTTCGAGACAAGCCCTATTTTCAAGGGCGACAAGCATCCTGACTACGATCTTGTCGTCGATGTCGGTAAGACCCATCAATGCCAAAGCCAGTGCAGTTGCCACCGGAGCGGATACTTGGAGCAAATGCTTGGGTTGCGGACTTGTGGCCCGCTCCGTCGCGAACGCATATATACAAGCCCGCATTGTACTTGCTCCCCTCTCCCAGAGCAGGCTGGCTCGATCGCGGACTAACGATGCCGATGCTTTGCATACGCCTTTCCAGGCACATATGACGGAGCTGACTTCACCATCCCAGCGTACAAGAAAGGGTACACGGTGTTCTCCTTCGAGCTGAGTCCCCAAAACCAGGCCCTCACCCTCGATAACTTTGCAAAGCTGGGACTGGCTCCGGGCAAAGACTACACCGTTGTCGATGTTGTTCCCGGTAAGGGCAGAGGACGGGATCGGTGATTGTCATGTTTCCGATCTGTGGCCACAAATGTCTCTTGATCTGGGCTGCCATATCAGCACAGCCCGCCTCATTCAATCCACCATGAAACTGCAAAAGCTGACCGGCGCCACTCCCGTTCCGGTTCTGCGTCTTGAACTGCCCAGGCACTGTTCCTGACGTCAATACATCCAAGCGACCACACATCTACTTCTTCAAGGCCGGTGCCTCGAACCGAACCGTTGGCGTCAGCGCCGCCAAAGACGGCGTCTTCACCGAAGTTTCGCATACCCCCGGCTCCCTCCCGATCGTCCGCATCGACGACATCATCCAGCCAAACGAGCGGGTGTATTTGTTCAAGGTTGACGCTCAGGGCCACGAGTATCCCGTCACCGACGGGGCTCGTCAACTGCTCCAAAACAACGTCCACTCGTTGCAAATCGAGTTCTGGCCCACGGGAATCCAGAAGAACGGAGATGATCCCAAGAAGCTCCTCCACAACATCTACGACTGGGGTAAGCGGGAGCAGCTCCATGATAGCCCTGTTCTGGAGGTTGTGACGGCCTTGCTCTTGCTTCTTGTGCGGATCTGGACGAGCAACTGAACTTGGCTTTCTTGATTCTTTCTTTTGCAGGATACCAGTGCTTCGATATGGGCTTCCACTCGGACTACATTCCGTACAACCGCCCATCGGATATCAGTGGGTTCGTTGATCATCTTCTCACTGTGCCGCCGTCCAAAGACCCCATCGGAGGCTGGGAGGACATGATCTGCATCAAGTAGTAGTCCCAGCACTCCATCCCGGACCACACGGGAATATGCTCGCGGGAACGTGCTCATGGGAAGATGTTCATGGGAATATGCTCACGAGGGAGAGTACACCAATACATTTCAGCCCGTGGTGCGGCACCAGGAAGCCAGAGCCATGTCCATCATATGCCGAGCAGATCATTCCACAGGCTCAGTACGAGCCGTGGGTCGGATTAGCCCACACCGAGGACTTGAGCGCCCAGAGCCGCACCTCCTGCTTGCTCAGGATCTTGAAGCGAGGCTGTCGCTGCGTGGGCGTAGTTGTAGGTCGTTGGCGAGCGGGTGATGGACGCAAGTGGTCCCCTCGATCATACGGTGCTGCACCAGGCCGCAGGAATACGCTTATGGGATCGTAGTACTGCCCTGACGAGACCTCCAGCGAGTCCATGTTCCTGACCGGAATGATCTTCCTGGGCGAAACTTCCTTCACGGCGCGAGAATGGTGGCTCGGGATGCAGGTGTTTGGGCGAGTCTTGAGCTCCTTTGCTCTGGAGATGTCTGGGCAGGGCGGTGGCAGGGACTCGATGCCCATCTCACGCAGCTCTTGCTTGGTGAACGACGATCGGGGCTCGGGCACAATCGAGGTGCGGCTTGGAATCAAGCTGTGGCGATTGTGCACAGGCGCCGAGGACGGTCGATGAGACTGCTCGTCCGGTCCGATGGAGCGGTATGAGACTGTCTTTCGTCCTCTCGAACTCGATGTCGGGCGGCTGTTGGGCGGGCTGGGGGTGAGGGTTCTTGCCGGTGAGAGTTGTGGTGTGCCCCTTCCCGTGTCGGTCCCATCTGCCTGGGTGAGCTCCCGGACCGAATCCCTGACCTCGCCGAAAGTCATCTGGCTTGGAGTCTGGGTATCAGGGCTCCGAGTGGTGGCAGTCGAGGCCGGACGGCATGGCCACGACGGACGAGCCGATATTGGAGTTGCCTCGGCCGTCGATGCTCCGTCAAATACACTTTCAATGCGAGGTGTTATCGGGGTGGTGAGGACTGTCTCGGGGCTGTCTGTGTGCGTTGGGATCAGGATGGTTGGCTTTCTGGAGATGGACCGGGTCACTGCTGATGGTGCTCGGGTGGTCTCACCGGATTTGACGACAAGATCGGGATTTTGGAGGGAGAGTCGAGATGGAAGTGGAATGATGCTGAGAGAAGCCACGCTTTCCTTTGGAGGGTCTTCTTCGGCGAGAGGCTCGGTGGTGATGATGGGCTCGGCATCAGGCGGGGGCAGGAGCATGAGAGTCGGGGAAGTCTGAGCAGCCGAGTCGATGCTTTGCTCGGATACTGCCGATTTGCTGGCGGTGCTGCTTCCCGAACCAGTACCCCTTCGGGCCAAACTGGGCCGGGAGAAGGTGCTCTCCCTCGTTCCTTGACTTGGTCGGCATGAGGCACTTTGTCCAGATGGCACACTCTTCCGAGTGGCACTACTCGGCCTTGCTGACGCCGGAACGGAAGCGGCTCGGTCGCTCGGCTCGGGGTGTGCTCTGGTCTGCTCCTGGTCCAGGCCCTCTGTTGGAAGCCGTGAAGCTCTTGTCAAGCCCTGGATGTGCTCTTGCAGAAGCTGCTGCTGCTGGGCTTTCAGCATGCCAAAGAGCTGCTTCCGGGGATTCTTCAAGAAGCGGGTGCGATCGCCCCTCACGAGGCCCTCTGTCAGAGCCTGCTGGAGCTGTGTGCGGCTCAGATGCACATGCTCTGATTCACGGGCCAGCACCAGCTCCGAGAGCTCCCGGGGTGTCCGGCTCTGGCCCGCCGAAAACGAGTTCTTGAGATGGCACCAGGGCACCACCTTGAGCTTCTCGGCCACGAGCAGGGATTGGCATGCCCGGGTGAGTCCCTGCATCGACTCGTACACAGGCTCACCAAGGTTCTTTGTGGCCGGCGCTGTCTCGGCGAGATATTGGCGTGCCCGGGGATGGGCTGCGAGAGGGTCGTTCAGAAGTTCATCGGTGCGGCGCGCGGTGTTTTGCAAGTAACTGTGGACTGAGTCGGCTGCCTCAAGCCGAAGATGCTCCTTGAAGCGCCGTTGAGCGGGAAGGCGAAAGGCGAGCGGAGGAGGATCTGGAGATGGCCGATGAGCAGATGGGCATATGGGCAGATGTGCAGATGGGCAGATGGGCAGATGGGCAGATGGGCAGATGGGCAGATGTGCAGATGGGCAGATGGGCAGATGGGCAGATGGGCAGATGGGCAGATGGGCAGATGGGATGGGCTGTTAATCCGAGGTTGGGGGCCGTCATGAATCGCCCAGGTACTCGAGATGTCACTGCTCCGCTGGCAGACGGACTGCACCTTGATCAAAGGCGACACCTCTGCCGAGGTGCAGGATCTTTTGGCACCCAAATGGACCATGCAGGGGTGGAAAGTAAGGTTAGTTCTCTGCGACAAAGTGTCGCCACCCCTCATACTCGGCGGCGACTCAGTCTCTGGGAACCAACAAGTGTGCCTGTACCTTGAGCAGCTTGGCGACTTCCTCAGGAATCTTGATGACCCGCTCGAGTCCTATCTGGGCAGGTTCATAGACAGAGACACAGTCGGATAGCGTAAGCTTGGTGCTCAGTTGTTTTTGTCTCTTTGGGCACAGTGTCTTGAAGCTGCCGTGATGTCCCGGCAGGAGCGCCGAGACAAACGCATTCCCACACCCGACCGGCTCCATCGGGTAACCAAGACATGTGCCGGCCCCTGCTCTATGGACCGCTCACCAGATGGTTGATGTCATCCTGAATCGAGTCTGGCAGCTCGGCCTCGTATGCACATGCCTTCATTTCAAGCAGCGAGCATTTGCCAAGGGTTCAAATGTTCTCCCACGACAGCCGGGGTGCAAGCAAGATGCATTCATATAGAACTGCGGTCCCTCGTAAGTGTGTGTCGAGACGACATGCCCCAGTTCCAGCCGGCTATTGTCGTCCAACTGCACGATACATCCTTGGTCAGAGATAAGGATTGGCAGACGCTAGTTCTACGTGGAATTCGGGGGGGGGAAGGAGGAGGACGACGATGGTGGTTCGCGCGGCGGCAGAAACCGGTATGCCCGCAGATCCACTGACTGTGGCTCTGGTTCGTGCAAAGGACAAAACGCTGTGGATCCTGTCCATTCTATTGTTCTTGGAAGGCAAACGGTGGCGGTCTAACAATAGCACATGGGTGTCTACAGGACCGAATCAGACATTGGTCTGACAATCGATGTGCCAATGGACACTGAGGCTGTCTCGCCTGGGGTTTCCGGTATGTTTGGGCTCGCTCAGGATATTGGTTCGGCAGTCGTCCGGGTTTACATGCTGCTCGTATATCGCCCAAGTTTAGGATCGCCCAAGTTTAGGATCGCCCAAGGTCAGAATCGCTCAAGGTCAGAATCGCCCTCACACCATATGTATTCCTGAAGTCATTGAGCTGCCAATGTCCAGCGGAGATCGCAGCGCTCGTTGCAAGGTCTTCCTTTCCCACGGTGCGATCAAGGCAGCCTTCCGCGTCGAGTGATCGGGGCAGGCTAGCGGCATTCTCTTGTGCGCTTGGTGACCCAAATGCCAATCCGAACGCAACAACAGAACGCAGCTATCGCTGTCAATAGCAGCAGGTGCTCGCTATCCGACCAGGCGACGTCACTTTTCTGGCCCGCGCTTGATCGGGGAGGGGGAGGGAGAAAGCGAGAGTGAGAGCGCACTGATTCTCGCCGATATCTTTCCCGCGTCGCCAGCCCGTCGCCAGCCCGTCGCTCAAGCCGGAACACTTCTACCCTCGTGCTGAAACTCATCGCCGTGCATCGCATCGAACTGCGTCGCGGCTCTGTGAGAACACACACGGGGCTTTTGGAGGTAATGTGCGCGTCGCTACATGAGAGATCTTGCGCTGCTGTTGCGGGGGAGCTTTGTTCGGTCCCGTCGCTGACCCTGGCACCTGTCTCGTTGTCAGACCACTCGTATCGAACGCCAGAGCCGCAAGGCCCGCATCGCCAACCATGTCTGAACTCAAGCTCAAGAAGCTCGTCGAGCACAACCAGCGGCTGAAGGAGCAGCTGGATCTTCCGCGGATTCCCGTGTCCGAGGCGAGCCAACAGTCAGTATCATCGAGGGGGGGGGGAGGAGAAAGTCGCGCAGAGTGCACCGATCTTGATGGGAATTGCATCGATCTTGACGGGGATCGCATCGGTCGCGAGATTGCGGATGTCGTCGCACGGGCAACGAAGCGGCGAGCACAGAGCGTCGAGATGCTCAATGTCAAATGTAGCTCCTTGAAGCGTGAGCGAATGCGAGCGATGGGTGCTTCGCTGTTTGTGTTATATTTCGCGTCGGCAATGCAGTTGGCATCAGATGTTTTAGGGGGACATCGTGTTGGTCTTTTGGCGAGATGGCTGGACGCATGGGAGCGAGTTGTTCCAGACGCCGCGACCGCTGCTGACCTGTCCTCGTCGCCGATTCTCCTCTCTCTCTCGCTGTCGGTATCAAGATTGATCAAATACGTCAAGGAGACCAAGGACTTTCTGCTGCCCACCATCTGGGGCCCTGTCGACAAGAAAGATGATCCGTACTCGGCACCCAACGGCGGCTGCGCCTGCTCGGTGATGTGACCTTTCCCGGGAAGAAGACGCAAGCGAGGCCGGTGTTGCTGGAGGACGTGATGGCTCCCGCCTGCTGCCCAGGACTGCTATTTGCTCAGCAGGTGGGCTGCCACGGGTCCAAACAGGCGTTGGTCTCCTCTCAGTGGCGATCAAACGTCTGGCCGGTTCTCGCTTTCTTGGACTGATTCGCCAGGCTGGGAGCTGCCTCCATCGATTTGTGAGGCCCTCCTGCCAGATTCGCGATTTACAAGGTTCTTCTTCCCAGTGGAGTCGTTGTCGATGTGTCGATTTTCACCCCATTCTTTATTATTCAAAATACAAACACACTTTCATCGATAGCTCCCCCCCCCGTTCGGACTTGTTCCTTACTAGCTGTTGGGTGGATGGGTGATGCCGTCGCGGCCTGCTCCCAAGGTATCTAATCGCAGCGCAAGGCAGTCCGACCGAGTGGGCGACCGTCGTGAGAGTGGTGTATTCGCGAAGACCGGCACTGTCGCTGGCTGTCTGTCAACGCAGCGCCACGTTGTATTTTCCGTCCGAGTCGAAACGGGCTATTCCGGCCCTACTCAGGCGCCAGCGATGCAATGACATCGGACATGGTGACAATGCCGATCGGTCGGTCCGAGTCGTCCACGACCCAAACTCGGGCGACAAAGCCCTGGGTCATCATCTCGATGGCCTCCGCCATCGTCGACTCGCGCTTGATGGTGTAGAATTTCTCCCGGAACATGGTTTCATGAACTGCCGGTGGGTAGAATACGCATGCCGGTTTGAGCAGGTCTCCAAAGGACAGCTGGTCCAGGAAGCGGACGCTCGAGGCGGTGAAGTTCCCAACGAGTTTGCCTTCACCGTCGACAATGGCCACAGCCTGGACTTGGTGGCGCTCAAGCACTTGCAGAGCCCCCAGAATGTTGGTCGAGCAGCCGATTGTGATGAGGTTGGGCCAGGCGAGGGGCTCCAGCGGCTCGCGGCTCGGCGGACGCGAATGCCCCTCAGCAAGAGGAACTCGTTTGAGCGGCTGGGTGCTCATGCGTCGCTCATGCCGAGACCGCATCATGATTTGACTGGCTGTGAGGTCGAGTAGGTCCTTGAAGACCCACCGCTTGCTCGACACAAACCACACCAGGTCGCCCTGAGACACCATTCGCATGGCGCGGGGATTCACGCTCTGTCGAGCGCTGTTGGAGCTCTTGCAGCAGCCGGGCGCATAGTCCATGGGCTCGGCCATGATGGAGGGGCGAGCAACGACCTTGGATCGGTGGGTGGGCTGCGACAGCAAGCGCTCGCTCACAAAGACCCACTGGGATCCAGAGCGAAGGTGGCTCGCCAACTCCAGCAGCGTCGAGTCGCCGTCCAGCACGGTTCGGCAGGGCGGAGCATCCTGGAGACGGCCGATGCCGCTGCTTGATCCGTCCTTGTGGAGTGGAGAAAGGATGTCGCCGACGGGGCGGTCAAACAGGTCGCCTTGCGAGCCCAGAAGCTCGTCCATATCGATATCGTGCACGGCATCGAGGGCGATCTGCCTTTCCCAAAAGTACCGCAGGATGAAGCGGAGCACATCGATGACGGTGACGATTCCACAGTAGCTGGAGCGGAAGATTGTCTGCAAGGGTAGTGAGCAGCAGAGGGACGCGATGAGGGTGGGAAGTGTTGGCCAGATGCTTGGCTGCTGGCGATCCGATGGTCGCCGGTGCGATTCCTCGAATGCCCCAGGCAGTCTCGCCATCAGTCGTCCGGAAAGCGCACTGCCCTGTGCTCGCCCACTATGCTCAATCTGCAATGGCCCGCCTTGTCCCAGTGCACCCAGCCTACCTCGTCCGTATCGGGCCAGTACACGGGCTCGAAAACATACACCGCGAGGGCATTGACGTTCCTCGTCCTCATGACCCTCATGACCTCGCGCAAGGATGTCTGCATTGGAGTCGTTCGGACGTGTAAGTAAACGGCGACTTGTGACGGCCAGCAGATGATAGGCCGGGATCAGCATCGCACTCGCCGAGGATGATCCAGCACTGGACGAGGATGATCCTGCACTCGCCGAGTATGGGCAGGGTGCAGTAGTCCAGACACAAGTGCAGTACCTCGATCTCGACGGCTATGAGCGAGGGATGCGGGTGGATAGGTTGCGTTTTCTATTGCGAATATGTTGCCCCGGGTGAATCGGGTTCGAGATGGCGAGGCAAAGAGTACATGAGTGTCCCCTCGAAGCAACTGGATCATTTTCAGGGCCATTTTGACGGCCTGGGGCCAGCAGTCAGGCCAGCAGTCGGACGAGCTGCCTGGTACTCGATCGGCTATCCGGTGCATGGGGTGCAGGAACGAGCATGAATGCGAATAGGCTCACCGAAAGCGAAATGGGGTTCCGAGGACGCTTCTTGCATTCTTCGAGCATGGCGTAGATCGAAGTGCTGTTCATGTAGAAGGCCGAGGTGCCATATCGGGGTCCGGGCCTGAACCCGGCGTTGAACCAGTCCACGAACGGGCCCTCCCTTGAGTATCGACCCAGGGAGGGCCGTGGCGATGGCGGCGGATGGAGCGGGCTTGGAGCGGGTGCCATGAAAGAGTGCATAAAATGGATATGTTCGGAGACAGGAGCGGCAGGCACCGGAGGAGAAGGCTGGGCCGAAGCGAGAGCGTGGGGAGTGAGGAGCGTAGGAGCGACGATGCGGATGGAGGGCTAAAGAAGAGCAGGCAGGCAAGCAGGCAGGCAAGCAGGCAGGCAAGCAGGCAGGCGGACGGGCCCGATCAAGCGGTGCCGGCAGTTGGCGATGCAGCAGACGAAGGCCAGGGTGGACAGAATGGGGGTTGGCCCAGAGACAGCACGGCACAGACAGCGGATCGAGGCAGGCCGGGGCAGGCAGCGACCCATCTGAGGAGAGGGTTCTGGGAGAGGAGGAGGAGTGCAGCAGGCCCAGGACGACGACGGCGACGGCGACGGCGACGGAGCAGCGCTGGATCGGAAGGAGAACTGCAGCCGAGCCGATCCGCGGTGCGACCATGGCTTCCGCCCGACCCCGATGCGGTGCAGCAAAGGGAAGACAGCCAGCGATTGGGGGAGGGGACATATACACCGGCGACAAGATCGGCAGCAGACAGAGCAGACATAGCAGGGATACCGATTAACATCAGCAATTAACAACAGCAATTAACATCAGCAATTAACACCAGCAATTAACAGCAATTAACAACAACAACCAACAGCCATGCCAGACCGAGACCTCTGTCTCGGTCTGGCATGGCTGTCCCGAACGCAGCGCACGCTGTCGAAGGGCAGCACGTTCTGCTCGCCAGCGCCGTCCAATTCCGGCATTTCCGCCGCCGGTGCTCTGTCGGTCCTGTTGTTTGCTGTCGTTGCGATTGTCGCTGCTCGGTCTTTGCTCTTTCTCCGTTGGCGCAAACGGGTGCTTTCATCTCCCCTCCCCAGCGAGCCGCCGCCGTCCCGCTGCTCCGCTGAACGCAGAGGTGTGTGATCAAGATGGATGGGGAGCACCCGTAACAGGGCATCTGATCCACGCTGTGACCGACGCTGCATCTGGCGATCTCCTCTGGCGAGCCATGGCCTGCAGTGAGACGCCCCCTTATCCACAGATGCGCTCGAGTTGGCACAACCCAACGCCACTTGCAACCCGGGTTTGGACTGATACGTAGTATTTCACAGGCACGATGCGTCAGTATTCCATTCGATAGCTACATCTTCCAGAGGAGGGCTCCCCCCCCTCTTCCATGGGGAAGGGGAATTGTTGGATTGGCTCTTATCGGGGGTGCAGGTCACAGAGGGCCCATTGGATTGTCGCTCAGTCATACATCGTGCATGGACGAATCCGATTGCTCCTTGGCGCGCTGCAGACGGAGCTTGCCATCCTCGTCGATCACCGCTTCGACTCCCATCTCGTTGAGGTCCTGACTTTGCGCCACACCGCGGGCCTCTAAAGAATCGATCAAGGCTTGGTTCTCGAGGTTGTTGTAGCACAGGTTGCGGATGGCAAAGAGAGCGTACTCGCGAATAACTAGAGAGAGAGAGAGAGAGAGAGAGAGAGAGAGAGAGAGAGAGAGAGAGAGAGAGAGAGAGAGAGAGAGAGAGAGGTGTGGTGAGTCTCGGGCAGTCGGAAAGGGAGCCGCTTATCGCCCGGACGACATCGCCACGGAAGGCGACTTTCTTTGGGCGAGCAGTTGGCGTAGACAACTCACATGGGTTGTTGTCGTCTAGCGTGCAATGATTCAGGACGACTTGAATGACGCCAATGTTTCGCATCTGCAGTCGATGATGCAAGAATGGCAGGTAAGATTCGGGCGGTTGGACACGCATCGTCAGGGTGGCCTGGCCCCTGACCTCCATAGCATTCAGTCATCTGCGAGACCTGCAGGTCTGTCTGCAAAGAAACCGGCCCCGAAGCATCGGCCACTTGCCTCATCCTGAATCTCTTTGCAGTGGTAGCATAGATTGCCGATGACTTTGATTGCATCGCACTTGAGCATGAACAGGCCGCGATGCTCGACTTCCAAATCTGGCTCCAAGTTCATGGTCTTGGCGCTCGCGAGCTTTTTGCGCGGGTGAAGCTGCTCGGCCAGACTGAGCAAGTCTGTAGATTGGGTTAGGGTTGCAAATGCAGGTTAGCACCGATGCGACTGAGGCAGAATCCGGAACACAGACACGCCTCCCTCCACTAGCAACGGCGACTGGGCTCATGCAGCCAGCTGGTGCCCGCGTGGAGCAAATACTGATCCGACGTGGACATTTGGCGGCTCACGATAGTTGGATCCAGAGCAGTCCGGTCCACGGCCTTCTGGCTCCACATGATGCTGCGCGGATACCTACCGAGGAGAGATTTCAGCAGAGTCGACTCTTGGCAGAGCCTGACCTTCGCCTCCGTGTCCATGTCGTAGGCGACCTTGGCGAGGCACTGCAAAACGAGCACGAGGGCGTCCAGCTCATTTCCAAACAGGACCCTTCGGATCTCTTCGTCGGCGGCGTCACCTTCCGAGGCGGTCGAGAGCTGCTCCGGAATCTCCTGGAGATGGCTGCGCTGGCTCCGGACGGCCTGTTCAGCAATATAGATAATGCGCTCGATTCCATTTGGTATCCGCGCGATGATCGACTCGGTTTCTTTCTTCAGAAAGTCGACAAAGGCCCCTGCCATCTTGGCGAGGTTCAGGGCGGGCTTGAGCGTGATTCCTGTGGTCGAATGGTTTCGGTAACGAGTCTCAATAATGCCGTCCAAGAGCTTGAAGAAATTGAGGGCCCAGGATGGGACGAGCGACTTACATCTGTCACCAAACAGAGGAAGGTAAAGGGGCTTCTCGATCAGTCACAGCCCAGAGCCCTTTGTTGACCGCGAGTGGCCGTCACCGAGTCTGATCACTCTCTGTCGCGGTGGTGGCGTCCCAGACATCGACAAACTAAGCTTGGTGACGGAGCGCACATACCCTTCGCCTTGCCGCAACTTCATCAATGCCATAAGAATTTCTCCAGTCAGGTCGAGCTCAACCATTGAGCAAAAAACGGCATATCTGAATGAAACGAGTGAATGCTGTGATATGAGCAATCGATCGAGCACCTCGAGAGACGGATAGTGTCGGCACAGTCGTGGGCCAGTTCGTAGGGCTGGACACCAGGCGCAGTAGCCGGTGGCTCTTGGTCGAGAGATGCAGAGAATGAGCAAAGAGACCCACATGATGGTAAAGACCTCGTCATCTGGATACGAATCGGTGGTCTTGTTGAGGAGCTCTTTCAAAACGAGTCGGCCTGGAGGTGTCTGCAACAGGTACAAGCTGGGGTCGTTCAAGACGGGACGATTAGTGAAACGAAGGCTGGCGAGCCGGGAGCCAGATCCATGAACATCACAGTGACATTCCGTGTGATCAATCGGAGCGAGAGCACCAACATCCGTCAAACTCAAGGCCGGTGCCGGACTTGGGCCATACCTCCGTGTCCGGTCCTTGTTGATCGAGTTGAAGATCCACATGAGGGCATATCGACAAGTGTCGTCGTTGGGAATCTGCAAGAGTTGGCTGGATAGGCCGTGCGAGTAGAAAGGAGGACGGGGAGGGGCATAAGAGCGATGACCAAGCCAAGACTAAGCTGGCGACATCCAAACGTGCCCGCGGTGACAACTGGCTTACATCAGAACGTCCGAGCCAGTGAAAAATGTGGGCCAGCAGCGGTTCATAACATCTGCATTTCCAGTCATCATGTTGGCGAGGGTTTGAGTGCCGATGTTGATGCAGGTTATTGCTGAGGCAGAAAAGCGGGAAGAGTAAGTGCTGGGGCCTCGAGCAGCGAGACACGCATATGCGCCATGGGGAGTGGGAGGTCGTGGTCGTTTGCTCGTCTGGCCGCCGATCGCAGTCCCGGTCGAGCGACCATGATTCGTGCCCGCCCTCACGAGAACGACGTCGCCCAACCAACCAGGCAATCCAAAAGGGGTGTGGTTGACCATGCATCTGCATGTGTGCCCGTACCCTTTTGTTGGACATCGGCAGCGGGATCTGTCGTTGAAGTCAGCCAACAGCATAGATATGACAAAATCTCGCTCACAGTCACATAGATGTTGTGGGCACTGCGGTCATCGATTGGGGCATGTGAGCAAAGACGTTTTCGACGTTAGCGTTTCGTTTTGGGTGAGTCAGGCCAATTCAAAAGTCGCCGATGGCAGTCACATTATGTCGCCGCAGATTCCTGACGATGCTCATCGAGGCTCACGAGGAGGGGACCGTCGCTGGCCATGATGCGTGCATCCCCGCGACAGCGGCAAAGGCCATACCATGCAGAACTCTGGTTGTCCGGAACAGCGGCGCAGAGGTTTCGCACCAGGAGCAGATTGGCATGATTGACGTCGAGGGAGAGAATTGCGCCTCGTTGGCAGGCAACGCCGTTCGAGCCAATCCCAAGTATCTGGAAGATGTTGTTGCGATCCATGATCAGCTGTGTCGACAGAAATGGCCAGAGCGGCAAGGAGCCGAGCTGTCTCCTGCAAGCGAGGCGGTAGCGCCGTGGGGCAGGTCGGACACAGATTCAAAACGCCGATTGATGTTCAGGACGCAGTGGTTCGGAGAGTTGTGAGAGATGGGCCCAAGGATGATTCGAGACCATAAAAGTCCATGACAAGTTCAAAAGGGAGGAGAGAGCGTCAGCGGGTCGGCGAACAATGACACAGGCGGCAACTCCGGGTGTCCTCGCTTCTGCCCCACCCTTGCCCCAGTCCTTGATTGCAAGTCGGATCTGCGGTCGGCCAGTCCAACGATGGCATATGGGCTCTTTGGAATCAAGACTCGCCGGCTTGTTGGATCCCCAGCAATGGGTGGGCCCGCAATTCGGGTCTGTTGGGTTCGTCCAGAGCCGCGACTGGGTGGTGAGCGACGTACCTCTTCGTTTCGGAAGCAGCGAGGGCACCGGCAATTTGGGCAATACACTGCGAGGCAGCCATGGTAGATGCATCGCGATCCAGGAATGACACCGGCGGACTGGATCCAGCAGTTTCGGAAAGAGTCATCCAAGCACGCTGCAGAAGCAGCATGAGGTGTTCTATATCGGCGGACTGGATATCGCTCATGACAGTGGCGGCGGTTGCGGTGGTGCCGACAGCGGGAGGAGATTGGAGAAAATTGCGCTGCTGTCGAGAGAAATGGTATCGAGTATTCGCCGGTAAGGAAGCGCACGTGCACGACTGTAAGTCTTGGTCCGGGATGGGCAGCAATACTGAAGACATGAGGATGGCCATGAGTAAGAAGGACGGCTTGTCCGGAGCCCGAACTGCCCAGATATGGTAGGCTGGCAGCGACGCAGAGGAATCCCAAATAGGCCCATTCGGCTCCCACAAACACCAGAGAAACAATTAGCGGAGACAATGCGGCCCCTCGAGGCCGACGGAAACTACCTTGGATTGGCGGACGAAGGCAGCCAAGTCAGGACCGACCAAAGCGCTCGCTCAGGTGCTCGGCGACGGGCGAATCGCAGGACTGGGGGGGGGTATGGGCACCACAGATGACGGTGCGGGCAGCTGTGGCCCGGCGAGGAGGAGCGGTGCGGGATGCGATGGCCTCGGCAGTACAAGTAGTCGATCGGCCAGCAGAACCGGATGGCTGGAGATTCAGGAACAACCTTTTAATCCATGCATTTTTTTCGAGCTGACAAATGGGCGGACGAGGCCGATCGGGATGGGGGCGCACGTGTCCGGTGGTGCGAGCGAGAGGCGAGGAAGGCGCGAGGAGCGTGCGAGGAGAGAGCGAGGAGAGCGAGGAGAGCGCCAAGGCCGCATTTGCCAAGTCCGCCACCACCGCAACGAAACGGATCATCCACATCCGCATCCACATCTGCATCTGCATCTGCATCGGCATCTGCATCGGCATTTGCATTTGCATCGGCATCGGCGACCCGTCGATCCACTCCGTCGGCCCATCCCGTCGCCTGCAAACTCTGCCCTTGCTCGCAAGTCTGGTTGCCCATCGGCCGGAGGGACGCAGCCGCATTCCGCTTCCGCATTCGCAACCCGCATCAGCATCCATTCCCAGCGAGCCTCGTCGCCATGTCGTCGCTGCTTGCCATCACCAACGACGGCGCTGCCGAGGTCGGGGCGTTTTTCTATGCCCTGGCTGTGGTTGGCACTGTGGCCGCGGTGACCACGTCGTTTGTGTCAATATCCCTTCATCTGAAGCACTACCGTCGGCCCGACCTGCAGCGACTCGTCATCCGCATCATGTTTATGGTCCCGCTGTACGCCGTCACCTCGCTTGCGTCGCTGACATCACGCTACTTGGCCGAGTACGTGGATCTGTTTCGGGATGTCTACGAGGTAAGCCCTTCGTCCGACCTCGCCTTTGATGGCCCGTTCGAGCATTACTGAAGGGCTCATGTAAGCCGCGGTCCATTTCAAAGACGCCCGGGACATCTCGGCGCTGGTTTCGTCAGCGATGGCATCATTGCCGACACGCAGCACCGGATGGACTTGTATACACAGCAACAGCAGGCATGCTGTGAACGGAGCTTGTCGTGGACGGAGCTTGTCGAGGTGCTCGGACCCAAGCACCTGGGCTGTTTCAAGCCAAAATCCATGTCGTGGCAGGGATCTAACGGCCCAGACAAGCAGACCTTGTTGCTAACAGAGCGCTTCTGTTCCCCCAGGCATTTGTGGTCTACACATTCTTCATCCTGATGATCAACTACCTCGGCGGCGAGCGCGAACTACTCACGATGCTCCAGGACCGGATGACAACGCACCACCTGTGGCCGCTGCATTATTTCCTCTCTCCTATCGATGTATGTCCGTTGTATTCATTCACCGTGATGGCAGAGGAGCTTTCTCGACCCGATGCCTCCTCGCAGGGAGAGGCATATCATGCTTTGGCGCCTGTGATCATCCGAGCATGGATCAGTGGTTTGGACAGCATCAACGAGTGCATTACTCACACCCACCCCTCCGTGCCATCAGCTGAGCGACCCCAAGGTCTTTTTGATTGTACGCCGCGGTGTCCTCCAGTTTGTGGTCCTGAAGCCCATCCTGGCCGTCTTCATTTTGATCATGAAGCTCATGGGCTTCTATCACGAGGGACTGATCCGTTTCGACAGCGCATACGTCTATGTGTCACTGTTCTACAACGTCAGTGTTTGCGTTGCCATGTACTGCCTCGTGATATTTTACCTGCAGTGCTCCAAGGATCTGGAGGCGTACCGGTGAGTCAAGGGCACTCGGTGCGAGTATCAACAGGCATGCTGGCGCATCAAGCTGTCTGATTCGTCTTGCTCCATGACGGGCCGCCTTGCATCATCTGGACTGATGTACCGAATGCCCTTGGTTGGTGCGCTCGCACTCAGGCCTCTGCCCAAGTTTATTTGCGTCAAGGCCATCATCTTCTTCTCCTTCTGGCAGGGCTTTATTGTGGCCGTCCTGGTCGGGTTCGATATCATTCATGACAGTAAGCAGCAGCAGCAGCGCCAGGAAATGGCCCTGCAAACCCAGTCCCGCGCTTTTCACTTGATGAAATGACACCCAGTTGACATTCTGTACTCGCTCGGCCCTGCTTTCTTGGTCAGAGGGCGATTACCCCGCCCAGGCCATTGCAGTCGCAATCCAGGACGGGTTGATATGCATCGAGTCGGTGATCTTTGCCATCGGCCATGCCTATGCATATCCGTGGACAGACTATGGAACTTCCCACCGGCTTGCCTCGCGCGTTGTGGTCATTTACGCCCTCAAGGATGTTCTCGGCACACGAGATATCATCCAAGACATCATCCAAACCTTCAGTGGCGTGACCTTCAAGGATGTCCGCTTTACGGAGGTTGAACAATACGAACGGTCGTTCGAGAACCGGCGGCAGAACTCGTTCGTGATCAACAGCGAACGGCGGCTGCACACGCGCGATCATAACTACGGCACCCTGATCGAGTCGTCCAGTGCCGCAGACCAAGATCTGGCACTTGCCCAAGGCAGATCCGATTCTTTGTCGCTTTCGCCTGCGAATACTCCTGCGGCCACCTCGATCAGACGAGCGCCGTCTCCGAACCAGATTCGGAGCGGCCTCCAAGCTGCCGGCTTTGCCGAGGGACCCGGCGACGACCTGCGGACGATCGAGTTTGACGAGCCCGAGCAGGATCCCGAACTCGAGGCGCTGTTTGGTGCCTCCCGGGAACTCATCTACGGCGATTACAACTTTCCTGTGGCTCGCGAAGACGAGCGCTTCATGGATCCACCCCAAGTCCAAGTCGAGCTCGAGCGCCAGAGGCTGCTATGGGAAAGCCGCACATCCTCGTGATCGACAGCCCGGGCAGATAGCTGTCTTGATCTTTTTCTGTCCGTGCTGCTGCTGCTGCTACTGTTGCTGCTGCTGCTGTTGCCTCCAGCAGTGGGTGAGCACCTCGTGTGGTTGTCTGCATTTGCGTGGATCAGTCTTTGTTATGAGGGGGGGGGAAGTGTTTTTAGGCTCTGGTTTCGCCATGTCCCCCTTTCCTTTCGCCCGAACTGATTATTGCTGTATACCGCCTCCCAGTTTGTCCATCGTCATATCCGGATATGTTGTGGCAAGTCGCCATTTGTAAATTCGCATTGCATCTCTGGTCGCGGTCATTGCTATCTTGTTGTTTTGATTCAAGAATCACTCGTTTCGCTCTTGCCTGGTTGCTGCGCGCCTTGGCAGAGTGCTCTTCGCATTCTCTTGCTGCAAGCCGGCGAGAGTTTTATGGTGCTGGCAAAGAGAGTTCGGAGGGTTGTGGGATGAACCGGATGGCTGCAGAGGAAGGTGCCTCTTCACCGTCATCACAAGTTTATTCGAGATCGTGCTGCCCAAGCCTGTATCGTCGCTCGATTGCCAACCAAGACGAGGAATAATCGCACGGCTGGTCCTCTGCAGCCCACAGACCAGCTGGGCCTCAGGCCCGTGGTGGCTGATAGGTTGGAACGTGACTGGTTCTCCAAAAGCGAGGAACTGCCTTGTTTTGCTTCCACAAGATGTATTGAATCGTCGGCAACAAACAATGCCGACTACTGCGGCTGAAGCTGACGCTCGTTCTCATGCTCATATTCGATTTCGATTCGAGGACCTGGATGGGGGGGGGGAAGGCGTTTTGGCAATGTGAAATGGGGATAAGGAAAGAAATCCTTTGTTAGTTTGCATGGAGACAACAGCGCAATGACAAGGTTCGAAGCAGGGAGTCGGGGCCGTGACCGGATCGACAGTGGATACTGACCCTTTCGTCTCTTGGCTGGGAGCGTGGGCGCGGGCTTGGACAGATTGGATCGCTTCTTGTTGGCCGGCACTTGGTCATCTTCATCGTCATCCTCGTCGTCGTCATCCTCGTTGTGGCTGTGGAAGTTTGCGGCGTCTTCGATATCATCGTCGTCTTCGTCTTCGCTGACATCCGAAACAAACTCCCGCTGAATCGATGGGATGGCACACAAAGAGATCAATATGATCGAACAAGTCTCGGAGCGGGAGCGAGACGAGAGCGGGAATACAGGTTGCGCCTGGCACAAGTTGGTTGGAGGATGCACCCAAAGTCGCACACTGGCCGATCCGAAGCCAACTCGGAGGTGCTTCGGCGGATGTCGCTTCGGGGAGCTGTCCTCTGTCCTCTGTCCTCTGTCCTCTGTCCTCTGTCCTCTGTCCTCTGTCTGGTACCGCAGAGTATCCTCACCTCAGGCTCATCGTCGTCGTCCATTTCATACTCCTCTTCAAGTTCTTGCTCGTCCTCCTCCTCCTCCTCATCCTCGTCCACCTCGGCGCCGTCCAGTTCTTCGATCGTGTCCATAGCCTTGGCAAATGCTTGTTGCTGGTCGTTGACGATGCCGTCGGATCCATAGATGCCTTTCCGTAGCCGCTCCAGCAGCTCCTTTTCGATGGCTTGATCGAGTCGAGCGGCAGCCTCGGCCTTGGCCTCGCGTCGGGCTTCGCGCCGCTCAGTTTTCTTGTTGATACCGACCAGCTTGGGCCTGGGCGACGAGCAATCGCAAAGTATAAAGTACAGAGTGTTAGGTGGGGTGTCAGGGTGATCAGTCGTGTGGCCAGCAGAGATACAGCGGCTATCCGGTGCTGACTGAGTGCCGTTGTATCAACTTTGGGAGAGGAGAGGTTTTGTGCGGACACATACGTCGCTTTCAGTTTCAGTCTGCGCATTCTCATCAGGTACTGGGTGATCTTGGTGACACGCTGTTTGCACTTGTGGATGAGATAGTCTGGCCAGTACTTCAGCTCGGTGTCGATCTGCCAGGGAGAGCGTGCAGTCACATTCAGCCCATGTCACCTTGCATACTCCGGTAGGGGCGACAGTGCGCCGTCCGCTGTATCGGCACGACACTTGGCCACCCACAAATCATCGGCCAAGCCAAGGCTTCATGACACCAATGGCCCGCCAAACACGATGCGGCATGACAGCAGTCCCGCGGAGTAGGAGCTCTCATACCTGTTCCAGGGCCTGGGCGTAGTTCTTGGAGAGCTTGACACGCTCCCACATCTTCAGAGGGGTATGGGCTCTCTCGATGGTTTTCATGTAGAGATACAAAATGCCATCCACTTCTTTGACGGTGGCATATCGACTGTTGGCAAGCGGACAGGCCATGCGGTTGCAGAGGCCCGTTACATTGTATTCATTCCGGCAGAAGGTTTGGACTTCGGTTCTGGATCGTCAGCGATGGGTTGAATGATTTGAAGTCCGATAGATGAGAAACAGGTCCGGCCGTTATGTCCGCCTTTGTAGCGATGTGTTGCGCACTGGCGGGTCCGTGGCCGAGTGCATTGTATCAGATCAGATCAAGCCGAGACACCAAGGCACCTACTTGACTTTGTATGAGCAGAATTGCTTGCTGATCGTTGACCAGATGAGCTGTTTCGGACGATGGAATCATGGGCACCAGTCGGGGACGAGGGTGGGATGTGAGCGTATGTTCAAGCAGACGAACAGGCGGCATCCGAGTGCTGGCCAAAGGCACGCAAATGGGATCCGAGCCGTCATCGACGTGATGCAACAGATAGGAGACGGATGCGTAGATTGAGAGTACCTCGTCGCTTTGCATGGTTGGAAGACTGAGGCTGAGTCTAGAATGAAACGAGGGCTTGCAGGAGCGTTGATCCGCAGAGACGGGAAGGAAGATGCAGGCAAAGTGCGCTGGGGCAGTTTATGTTTGTGTGTCGAGCCGCCGATGGATTCGTTCTATTGATTCGTTCGGCGTATGGAGCTGCTGGTTAACTCGCTCGGGTGGGCTGTTGAGACCAAGGCTCTCCTGGTGACGGAATGAGCAGCAAGCGATGCAGCGATGCAGCGATGCAGCGATGCGGAACTGGAAACGGCGGGCCAAGAGCTCCAGCATCACCAGCACCAACAGCAGCAGCAGCAACAAAAAAAAAAGTGCGCAGCGCCGCGGTGTGTGACACGGCGCTGGCTGGATCCGTGGCTCTGCCGAGTCGAGCCGGATACCGTACATGCGCCACAGATACCGCTGCGGCCACACACACACCTGCGGCGCGGACAATGGCACGGGTTCTGCCAAGCAGCGCCCCCGTGGCCGCTCTCGCTCGCGCGCCATCGATTGGCAGCCGCGCGCTCTCGCGGCCCTCGCCGGCTCTCGCTGGCTCTCGGCCCTCGCTGCTATTCCCGAAGCCGCCCTTGATTGGAACGCCGTTTTAAGACCGTTGTCCCCGCCTTCGCCTTCGCCAGCACCATCGTCGCTCGCTTCCTCCACATCTGCTCTCTCCTCTGCTCTGCTCTGTCGCCGTCTCCCATCTACCCAATATGGTCAAGCTCACCTCGTCAGACAACGTTGACTTCTCGATCTCGAAGGAGGTCGCCTTCCAGTCGATCCTCATCAAGAACATGCTCGAGGACATTGGCGACTCGGAGGACCAGCCCATCCCCCTGCCCAACGTCACCGGCGCCATCCTCACCAAAGGTAATGCGGCTGGAGCCACAGTGTCTGCCATGCTCCTCGTGCGTTGCCAACCTCGGAGCAACGGACATGCTTCCGTCTGTTGGCCCACTAGATCTGGCTTTGGACGCAACCGCGGTGCTTGTCGTCCGGCTGCTCTGCTGCAGCTCCGTCGCTTGGCTCGGCTTTCGCGTCTGACACTGTCTGCTATTCCTCTCGCTTCCTCCATCCCAAACGCCTTGCGTCCGGTGCTCCAGTCATTGAGTACGCGACCCACCACAAGGATGACCTGCCCGCCCAGTCCGAAGATGATCCCAAGGTCAAGGCCTCGGACGACATTGATGAGTGGGATAAGGAGTTCATCGCTGTCGACCAGGGCACACTGTTTGAGATCATCCTGGCGGCCAACTACCTCGATATCAAGGGTCTCCTGGATCTTGGTAAGCCGATCGAGCATCATCTCTGGCGAGAGAGGCAGCCCTGTTCTTGGTCGCAGATGGGACAGGGGGGCTGCCTTGAAGGCCAGGAGCGACGGTGTCGGCTCCAGACCAAGGGCTTCGCTGTGGTTGTGCCGAGGAACCTCGCCCTCCTCCGACTCTCTTCTTGGAGCTGCAATCTCTGCGCAGCGGGCCCACTTTTCCCCGCAACCGCCTTCTCACATCGAATCCTTGACCCCACGCTCAGGCTGCAAAACCGTCGCGAACATGATCAAGGGCAAGTCGGTTGAGGAGATCCGAAAGACCTTCAACATCGTCAACGACTTTACCCCCGAGGAGGAGGAGCAGATCCGCAAGGAGAACGAGTGGTGTGAAGACCGATAAACCGACTGTCCTGTCTCTCCCCTCATCTGCCAGCCGCATTGTCTTGTGGTGTCCCTCGGAGTGCTGCTGCGCGCATGCATCGCCATTTCTCGCCTTTCTTTGTGTTTGTGAATTCATTACGCTCCTTCCACTTCTCAATAAAACTCTCCCCATCACAGCATTTGCAACAGGCCAGATCCCCTCGCAATCGACGCTACGCTCGCCGCCTCTCCTTCTGCCCCCGCTTGCTTCGCCATCGCCATCGCCATCGCCTCGTCGTCCGGGTTGCGACGTGGCCTGACGGCGCTGGTCGGGAGTCGCATGTGGCGCAGCCATCGACCACGTGCCCACTCTGCGCACATCCGGCGCGACGCTGGCCCGCGAAAGCTTCCGCCTCCTGTCTCCTGCCTCATCTGCTGCTGCTGCCGCTACTACTGCTGCTCGTCGCATCGGCCAGCCCGTCCACCAACTCGACTCGCCAGTGATCGCTCCTGTCCACACAATCCTGCATCAGCCATGTCCCGAATCCTGACCACCCTGTTCGAACTTACCCTGGTCTCCACCGCCTTCTCTGGCGCTCGTCGTGCCGGGCAGTTGGGTAGGTCGTCTGGGCCAGAGACAGCCTCGCTGTCCGAACAATTGGCCTCCACAGTCGCTCCGATAGCTTTCACGACGACGCCATGACTTTGTCAACGAGCGTGGCATCGGCACCGGCCTCTGTTGGCACTCGCATCCCACTCCCGCATCGCACCCGCTCCGCTCCGCTCGGGGCTTTCTTCGCCCGACTCCTACGGTTTGGCTGCTCCTCGGTCGACTAATCACGATCTTTGCTATTGTTTGTTGTCTGCTCTGGACTCTCGGCGCCCAGACTTCAACTACCAGCAAATCGACAACGAAACTGTGCGAACCGTCGTCGAGTCCTATTTCAAGGTCGGCGACTACGTTGTCGATTTCAGCGTCAACCAAATGAGAAAGTACCCGACCTGGTTCCCACGAAGCGGATAGACTCCTCAGCCTCGTCCTCTGTCCACCCATTATTTTATTGTTTGCTCCCATCCCCCCTTCCTATTCCATCGCACTGCCTGCTCTCGCCCGTTTCTGGACCGTCGCTGCGATCCCTCATTGTTCTCATGTACAGCTTGTCTCGAGCCGACACAGCCGGAGCAGCTAGCAAAGCGAATACAATGCAATGCAACTCGTTCCGGAGCCCGTCTGCCTGTCCCGGCCTCGAGGCGGCTTGATATTTACATTCGGGTTCCCGGGCGATCGATGACGATCCAGGACGATCCAGGACGATCAACAACTGCATGGGGCGATCGCTCGTGCCCGACACAGGAGCTGTCCCTCCGACTTGTGAGAGTCCGCAGCTTGATCATCTCCCCCGGTCCAAAGCAGTTGATCCACCGAGAGCTTCAAATCAGCAGCGCCTCTTTCTCCATATTCAGCGTGCCCAGGGCTCACCAAGGCAAGGCGACTCGAATCACTCGACTCCCTTGATATGGAGACCCATGGAGCTCGCCAGACGACGGAGTTTATGCACCACACTCCTGCATCATCGCGATATCAATGCCAGTCGATCTTCGTCACAGGATATTTACCAAGTGTGTTCAAGACGATGCTCCCGAAGCCAACCAAAACCATTGGATTGCGACGAGGACTGGGGTGCTGTGTCATGGCCAGCACACCGAGACTTACACACCGGGACCCGCAGATCACCGTGGGGCATGCGGTGCCATGTGTCAGGACGATTTCTCAAGCCGCCACATCGGGCTTCTTGATCAGCAGTGCGAACGACGTCACGACATGCGAGTCCACAACAAGCTTGAGATGGTTCGCCTCTTTGTATGGAGCAGTGTCCGGTGTCACATCCAGCGGGTACTCGCCGGATCCCCAGTACGGATCAAACAGTTCGTAGCCGAGGGCCTTGATGTCGTCGCGCAACCGCTCAATGTCGCTGTATGAGGCAAGGCGGATGTGAGCGGATGTGGGCGGTGGACGTGGACTGCCTGCCTGACCTGCTGGGCAGACGAGACCAGTAATAGGTAGGGCGGGTTGCAGGCGACACCACGATGATCTGCAGCCGCCGACTTGTCGCTCACCTCTTGCGCCACAAGGCATTCGGTCCTGTTTCGACCGTGTGGGCCAAGTTGCTCAAGGTGAACTGGACCGAATGGAAAGCCACGCCGCCAGGCTTGAGCGTCTCGAGGGTATTGAGGATGTAGCGCTGGCCAAGTGAAATGGAGCCCGTGTGCTCTTTCGGAGATATAGAGGGCGATAGGAGGTTCCCAAAGTCGTGAGTTTGGAGGGTCGATATGATCTGGCCCGTACACAGCAAACAGACGACCAGGATATTGTCTCGGGACCAGATTCATCGGCAGCCGCAAGGGATACATCCTCCCGGGTCTGCGATTGCGATTGGCGTTCTCTGACGACGTTGATACCCCCCCGGGCTGCTGCGGCTGGCGATGTTGCCGGCAGCGTTGCAGACTGACTTACCGACAGTGCGAGTGGACCACACAAAACTGAATCGGTTGTTCATTTCTGCCAGGAGGCGATTTGGATCCAATGACCTGGGAGAATGCAGTCGAGCATTCAGCAGCCGGGCCGATGAGCTGACAAGCGATCCACCAATACTGCTGCACACCCAGTCCATTGTGCGGCGGCAACTCCATCCGACAGAACGCCAGCTCGGACGATGAGTAGTGACGCCGACAATCTGAATCCTCATGATCGAGCCCTTCGCGGCCCTCCAGTCGACTTCACGATCCCCTGGGACACGATTCCGCACTTGTTCTCATCCAGAGTTCGCCTACACCAACCTGACGGACACTTTCTTGGCAAAGGTGGCCTCGTCCACGAGCTCCGGATAGTGCAGCGTGGTTTCGTTCAGGCGCGGCTGTTCGTCCTGTACCAGGGCGTCATCGGCAGGAAGCGATTCAAAGTCGTCCTCGGTTGCTTGATCGACGTTTGAGATCCACACAGAGCAGCCCTTTGAGGCCAAATAGGACGCCAGTGGGTTTCGACCTGCGCTCCAGCCCAACAGAGTTGACGAAGGCTGGCAGAGATCCAGCGACTTGATGATGTGGGCAATGTAGGCTTGCTAGAGATGTACATGCCCAAATTGCCGGCGATTCACCATGAATGAAAGATGGAAGAGGGGAAGGAGTTAGTGACCGGGCACGCCGCGGTCATCGTCGAGTGGAATCGGCAATGCAGATGCTCGCCCGGTGACGACCGTTGCTAGGTCGGTCTTGTGCTGATTGGAGTAGCAATCGCCGAATGAATGGGGGCGGGAGAGAATAGGGCGTGGAAGAGAGATGGTTCTGCCGATCCGGATGTGACCGCTGCTGAACGACGCTGATGCTCGACGGGTCCTCGAGAGCCCACGTCCGGAAGCCAGGCGATATCGCTTCGATGTTACCTCCCACTGTTTTCGGTTGTGCTTTGGCTTGGCCTTGAGCTCCTCGAGGGTATCCAGCAGCCACGATGCGCGAAAGTCGTGCTCGGTGGCCATCTTGGAGACCAGGATGCCGGAGGGTGGGATGCCCTTGAAGGCCGGATGGATTTTGGGCACCTGGCTGCCAGAGAGGTCCTCGAGCTCGTTTACGTAGCGGGCGGCGTCAGAGTCCGAGGCCACCCCGGACAGATCGGCAATGTTTTCGTTCATGCAGATTGGGCAAACAGGGCACTCGCTGCCCGTGGCTGGCGAGTCTTGGTCATCCAGGAGCGGGTGGTATGGCTGGTTGGGGGTGCGGCCTCGGGACTTGGGAACCGGCTGCACGCCCAGAGGAGTCTCGGAGACCGGCCGGACAGAGCGCGACGACGACAGATAGAGTACCAGGACCACCACGAGCGCAAGAGCGAGGACGTGCAGGCGCTTGAGTCCCATGCTGGGCCGATGGAGCTGGAACGAAGGATCGAGGGATGGCGGCTGGGCGATACGGGAGGCGCCGGATTTGGGCAAGAGCCGCCTGAGACTGTGCGACCGCGGCATCGATTCTGCGCCACAGCGCGTCCAGCCTCGGGCTTTGGCACAGATTCCGATTGCAGCAACCGGCACGACCGATGCTGATACCGATAGCGGCAGAGACCTGTGGGACGGCCACCGCCCATGCGTGCGCGCCGGCTTCTCTAAGCATATTGTGTATTTCTGCGACTGCACGGCAGCAAGACTTGCCAGTCATCTGTGTCCACATCGAGGGGTCTGCTTCGTCTGGTGTCCATCGGGTGTTCCTATCCACCCAGCTCAATCCTGTCGACGCTGCCGAGTTCACAGGAATGCAATGCTCTGGGGACACTCGGGGACATTCTCGATCGCTCCGACGCTGACCAGCGTCTCCGAGTCGCGGTCGAAACGGAAGACACGGATTTCCTTCGAGATCTGGTTGGCAACAACAAGCCAGCGGTCATCGACGAGGGCAAAGTGACGAGGAATTTCGCCCAGGGTGCTGGTGCGGCAAGTCTGGGTCAGGAGGCCCGTATCGGGGTCGATCCGGAACACCGACAGAGTGTTCTCGTCCGCGCGCATCGACGCAAATACGTAGCGACCGTCCGCCGAGACCTCGATCCCCGAGGCGCCGATTTGGTTGGATGCCGAGAGAGGCAGCGACTGGATCAAGGTCCAGCCGTTCGAGGACGGGTCGATCGAATAGGCGTGGATGTGCGAGTCCAGCTCCGTGATCAGGTAGACCCAATCCGAGGCTGGGTGGAAGGCCATGACTCGCGGGCCCGAACCAGGGGCGTGGGCCGGGATAGCGTCCACCGCCAGATCGACGACCGAGTCTTGGGTATGTCCAGCAGCAGTAGCAGCAGCAGCAGAGGCAGCACGGCGGTGATGTGACTCGGGCGAGAAGGGGTGGATGTGGATGCGGTCGAGGCCCAGATCGGCAACGTAGGCAAGCGAGCCGTCGGCGTTCCAGTGGAATTGGTGCGGATGCGAGCACTCCTGGCGATCGGGATGAGGACCCTTGCCGGTATAGGTGTGGACGACAATGTCGGTGGGGCTCAGAGCGCCGGACTTTGGGTCGATGGCGAAGATGGTCGACGAGACGCCGTGATAGTTGGCCGAGCCCAGGAACTCGCCCGACGGATGCACCTGAGCATGGCAGGGGCCTGGAGCCTTGGTCGGGACCGTGCTGATCCAGGTTAGCCGGCCTGACTCGGCATCGACGGAGAAGGCCGAGACGGAGCCGGTTGGGGCGGTTTCAAGCTCGTTGCAGGCATAGAGGAAGCGTTTGGACGGATGGAGGGTGACGAAGCTGGGGACCTCCGAGGGAATGGCTTGGATCAGCGTGTGCGATTCGGGGTGGTCGAGGTCTTCCAGTTTGTACACATAGATGCTGGATGAGGAAGGACGACATGTGGGATGAGCCAGGAGGTCGCCGCCGACACCTGGACGCAGAGCAGAGCCAGGACGCAGAACCAAGCGCAGAGCCAGGATGCAGAACCAGGACGCAGAGCCCGAGGAACGATCCCTACTGTTTCCCGCCGGTGCCGACAAAGAGGAAGCGGCCGAGAGGATCTTGGGAGCGGATCATCGCAGGCGGTGGCTGGAGAGGGCAGACGATGAGCAGGTCCAGAGCCGGGAGATGAGCTCGAGCAGGAAGCGCAGAGGGGAACGGCGATGGGCGAACCGAAGTGGCAGGAGAAAACGGGCAGCCAAAAGCACCACCCTCGCCTGAGCCGACAGTTGCGGTGGCGTTCACACGACCACACACAGGAATACAGCGACGCCGGGCAAGGACATGGGCTGAGCAGCCCCGCGGGTGGCAAGGAGCGCAGCGGGAGGACAGAGGGCCGTTGCTGTTGCGCAGAGACAGGGTTGAATGCGGCCCGACTCGACGATCGGCAGCAAATGCGATGCGGGCCGCGACAGAGCGGGAAGGGCAGGGCGACATCCTGCGGATCCACTCGCAAATCGGTCTGTGGCAACCTGCGTATCGACCTGCGTATGCATAATCAAACAGGAGTGTCGACCTGCGTATGCATAATCAAACAGGAGTGTCGACCTGCGTATGGATAATCGAACTGGAGCACCAAAGGCGAAGTGTTCTGCCGCGAACAAGCAGGCCATGTACAGAGACTTGCGAGTGCGACACTGCTGGTCGGCAGGCGCTGAAGGGCCGCGCCGTCGCACGCAGCCCCGACAGCGACAAAGCAGGCCCATGCCTGCCGGTCAGGCGAGCAGACAGACGAGCAGGGCAGAGAGGCAGGCAACAACGGCGATTGCGGTGACGGGTGGGATGCGATGGGATGCCGCCATTGGCGGGCGGTGCGGTGGTGGATATGCGATTCACACATGGGGGAATATCACGCATGTGCGGATGATAGGATTGATATTTGCGATGTTTTGTTTCATGATATTCGCCGCCGAGAGCAGCAGACGAGAGCAGCAGACGAGAGCGGCGCGTCGGTGGTGCTGCGCCAGTGCCGGCCACAGCGCCAGCCACAATCCGGCCACAGTGGTGCCACAGTGCTGCGCGACAAGGGCAGGGTCGCACGGACGCTGCACCAATCGCCGGCGGCGGTGGGCAGCACAGACAGGGCAAGGGAAAGGGAAAGGGAAAGGGAAAGGGGAAAGGAAAGGAAGAGGAAAGCGCAGCTCAGCCACGTGTGCGCAGCTATGTGTCCGTGTGTTCTGTGCGACACTGTGTGCGCGATGCCGTCACACAGCCTGGCAGCAGTTCTTGTGCGCTGCTCTTGTGCGTTGTTCCTGTGCGTTGTTCCTTCTTGGTGCTCCCGTCGCCAGCTTGTTGAGCCTATTTTGAGAACGCCGATCCTCAGCCAGCCAGCCAGCCAGCCAGCCAGTGAGCCAGCCGGCCAAGACATCTTGCTTGAAAAAGAATAAATTACCAAACCCAGCACTTTGTCGAACATCTCAACGAACATCTCAACGAACATCTCAACGAACATCTCAACGAACATCTCAACTAACATCTCAACTAACATCTCAACTAACATCTCAACTAACATCTCAACTAACATCTCAACTAACATCTCATCCAACATCTCAACTGACATCTCAACTACCGCCTCGTCCAACATCTCGTCCAACACCTCGTTTCAACAATCCCATCCGTCCATCGCCCCCCCGGGTCGTCGCCCCCGCTCGCCCGCTCGCTCGCGCTGTCCCGCCGCCGCCGCTGTTTCACCTCCGCCCGCACCTTTCGTTTTTGTTCTCCCTTATTCGCTTGTCTTCGTTGCGACAGCGCCCGTCCGTTTCCGTCTGTTCGCTCGGCCCCGTCGCCCGTCATCAATCGCCCCTCCAGTCTCGCTTCGGCTCCATACTCTTGTCCGTCTGCGTCGTCCCCGCCTCGGTAGCTGCATTCCGGAGCCACCCAGCACGATCGCCGACTCGCTCCCCCCTCTCGTCCTTCCCGGCCCCCATCGACTCGTCCTTCCCGCAACTCGCCCATGGGTATCCAGGATTTGGCCATCGTCCCGCAGGAGGGAAAGCCCTCGATCGTCCGCGGCTTTCTGGGCCTGACCCCAGACATTGCCTTTGCCGGCGACATTGTCTACTACACCTCAAAGTCCAGCCGGCCCACCCTCGCCTCTCTCTTCCTTTCGCTCAACGCCTACATCCTGACCAATGTCCAGAAGGACGAGTCTGCCGACGACGACAATCCGCACCACACCCAGACCACCTACTTTCTCAAGCGCCAGGTCTTCATCGCCGGCGACTCGTCCGTCACAGACCCGCAGTCGGCTCCCCGCAAAAGCTCGGCATATCTCGAGCTCTCCTCGAGCGAGTGCCACCGATTTCCCTTCTCGATCGAGCTCGGGCCCGACATTGTCCCCTCGCTGCCGGGGTCGTTCACCTGGGACTACTCCAAGAATGCCTCGGCCTCGGTCGTGTACGAGCTGACGGCCACCCTCATTACCGCCCCGAAGCTGCTCCGATCCGCCAAAGTCATCACGACATCCGAAATCGTCGACGTGCCCAAGGTGGACCCGCCGAATGTCATCAAGGGCGAGACGACCGCAACCAACATTGTGCATCAAGGTAGGCCGCTTTCGGGTCCCACTCGTGGATGCTTTCAATCCGCTGCCGCTCTCGAGCGGTATCTTGCTCCGCTTCGGAAGGCACCTGCCCTCACGGCTGGCTTCGTATTGCTTCTTGTGGCGTCCTGCTTTTCAGTCTTCGATCTGCGCCGCTGCTTTGCGACAACAGCTGCCCATGTGCTGCGGCCTGCATCTGTACGATCCTGTGCGATCCTGTGCGATCCTGTGCGATCATGTACCTTCCTTGGGCGCACCTCCGCACCCCCAGCTCCCTGACTCTCAGCCTTGATTGCCTGCAGGTGTCAACGAGTTTATTCAGTACAACATCCATCTCGATCGAAGCATTTTCGGCCTCCGGCAGCCTGTAGGCTTCCAAATCGTCGACATCTCGCCTCGGAGCAACGATATCAAAATCAATGGTCTCTCCGTCAAGTTAGTCCAGCACGCCGTCATCAAGTCCGCCGGGATTGCGCACGAGTTCGACACCGTCCTCAACGAGATCCCAGAGGGCAGCTCTGCCTTCACACAAGCGTCCTCTGTGCGGTGGAGCGGGGCCGGGGAACTCATCGTCGAAAAGGCGCATCGCCGAGAAAAGAACATCCAGATCGACGCACTCTCGGCCATGGAGCTCGAGACCGTCATTATTTGGCACTCGGTTGCCATTGAAGTCCACATCAAGCAGCATTCTTCTGTCTGCCTGGAAATTCCCGTGTGGTTCATGGACATTGACGACGAGACCCGCAAGTGGGTCGTCAAGCATTGCGGCGGGGTTAAGCCCGAGGCTCTGGTCGGCTCGGCTTTCCGAAAGGTTCGATGAGCCACTCCCTGCTGTTCATGAACAACTTTGTTCAAGACTCTCCACCTTCCCTTTCCTTCTCAGCATGGATGGCCTGTCTTCCTTGGCGATCCGGGCTCTATTTGCACGCCTATATCTACCATTTTCACTCCAACTCCCGCCCTCATTTGCATAGACGATCTTGCAGTTATCTCTCGGAGCTTCTCATAGCCAGTTGCTAGGACTCCCCACCCTCTCTTCGTAATACATACAGTGCAGCAGCTTCAACAAAATAGAGGTGGCACCCGTCCCCACCCCTCAATAGAACAATAATGCACTAGATGCGCCAACCGAGCGACGTCCATCAAGGCGCCGCATGGATTCGCCATCACATCAGCGATTTCATCGTGCTGCCCATCGCAGAGATCGCAAGCACAGAGACCGTCCGATGCGGGCGCTGTTTGAGGACATTGCGCCCATGGGCTTTGGAATTTCCAACGCATCCACGTTATCAGGCACAAACAACCTTGGTCTTGGTGTTTTGGAGTGCACAACCCGACTCGTGTGAACGCTGAAGGACGAACGCCTCGAGCTTCCGCCACTCGAGACTCCCGCATCATTTGAGCAGTCCCACCATCACCACCATCACTGTCGTCACTACCATCACTACCATCACTACCATCACTACCATCACTACCATCACACCATCACCACTATCACTGCCGCCAGAGATTTGGTCACAGGATGCAGGTCGATCATCGGCCTCGTATATTTGTTGCCATATTTCCACCCCCCCCCAAGGCGAACTTGCTGATGACGACTGGCGGCAACAGCGCTGGTGACGAGTCGATTGCTTCTCATTGGTGAACCACTTCATGGGCGATAGCGGTGGAGCAGATGTGCGGGTGTGTTCCTTCTCAGAGCTGTAGCGCCCCACGATCAGGCGACAACAGGATGGCGTCTCTTGAAGACCATAAAGGTGCTCTTGAACCAAAAATACTGAGCTGCGGCTCGGCCCTCTTTCTGAAAGTCGAGTGCCCAAGAGTCTTGATAGTAGCCATGGTTTTCCATGATTCTGACGACCTCATCGTTGTTCTTGTTGTTGATGTGGTGATGGCCATCTTGTCCAATAACCGCCCAAGAAAGGATCACGCCGTAGCGGTTGTGACGATCAAAGGTGTTGAGGAGCTCCTCGGTTTTTTCAGCAGGGACATGCTCGCCGATTTCCAGAGAAAGGACCCAGTCGGCGCGGCCTTGGATGGTGTCCATCAGAGGGTTGGTTGCATCCATCCACTTGAGAAACCCGTCAGTGTACTCTTCGACGTTTTCGGCTCCATCGTATCCGCGGTAATCGATATTGGCGCCGTGGTTTTTCAGATAGAAGCCATATTGGCCAACGCCGGCTCCGATGTCAACGATACTGCTTCCGTCGAGGAACTTGACGATTGTTGCCCCGATTCCTTCGTCAGCCGGCACATGGTTCGCCGCGGCTCGGCCTCGATACGGGATTCCCCAGTCTTCTTGTGAAGGAACAAGACACCACCCTCCGGTCGGGCCCGTATCAGCTCCGTCGCGACACATCATCTTGCCGGCGATCTTCCTCCATTTGACGAGCTCCTCAACGAGTAAAGCTTCGTTCGTGCATGAGCTTCCCATAATCGTGCCGTCGAGCACGTATTTTGTGGGCATCAACCCTTGTTGGACGAGCCATAGAAGACCGCCAGCAAGGAAAAAGACCACTCCCAAATAAATTGCGTTTTTGCCTGTCGGAGCCTTGAATCCCATCGGATCTATTTCTGGAGCCAGCAGAGATCAGGACGACGTGTCAATGCGAGTCGAGCAGTCAGGGCGCGAAATGGGATGTCGATCACTGGAATCTCAGGCGATCATGCAGAGATACAGCCAGGAGAAGAGCAAAGAAAAAAAAAAGGGTGTAGTGCTCAGCAGAGATACTGGCAGATGATCATACGCTTTGGCTGTCGACAAGGACGAGGTGTCAAAGGGCCGATTCCTTGCTGTTCTCATGCTTACCAAAAAGGACGTCGGATCGGGGTGCGGTCGGGACAGGAAGATTTAGCGACAATGGCTCCGAGTACGATGGCGGGCGCGAATCTGACCTGGGTCTGCATTTTAACCCCATCGACATGAATGCGCCATCGAGCCGCCGCTTCCGAATCGATCCGCCGAAGCCCGCGAGGCACGCTGAGCAAACCGACTAGCTGTATCGATACTCAAACACTGTGTCAATCAGAGGCATTGCTTGTGTTCTCAACCGCTGTGTCTGGCTGGCAGCTTGGCCCATATTTGTGGCGGGAAGAGGCGGGTTGATTCGGAAAGGCGGGCAGCTCCGGCGCGGATTGAGGGAGGTGGGAGACAGCCGATGGAAAAGGCGCGGAAGGAAAAGCGCGGCAACTCGGCGGGTGGGAGCAGGACCAAGCAGAATATCGACACAGGCAGATGTGGACATCGCCAACACGAAACGAAACCGTGCTTTGGTTCTTCTGTACCAAGAAGTTGCACACTCTTCCACCTCACTTTCAGTGGGGCTGAGATAGCCGCCATGCAATTCATGCCAGCGTGGGTTACCTTGGACGACTTGGCGGCAATAGTGATGCTACACTCCATTCAGAAAAACCCAGGACATCACCCGCTTCCATGAACATGTAGTATGTGATGGCTTGGGTCAAACCAAGCCGCATGCAATCGAACAGTTCACCTCTGAGTGAAGACCACCGGTCGCTCTCTGGCATCCACAATCGACCTGCGCTGGCCTCAGAGTGCCAGCGGTGAATGGTGCCCTTGGACACACTGAATACGGAGGCAGCTTTTCCCAGGCTGTGGATGAGGGCGTAGCACCGCATCACAGAATGGACATGGCCAGCGCGGATTGGTGTTTGTTGATGAGAAAATCCTTCCACAAAAACCAAGGTGTCCCGTTTATTATCGAAACGCCTGTAATAAAGCCGATTGATCAATCCTCCCGGACGCGCATGATCAAGTCAATCTACACTCCGAATGGAGCGAGGTCTAGTACCCGAGACACGCCGGCGATGGGCTGGACACAATGGGATCCTCTTTCCAAGCGACTGTATTGCGGAACAGAATGCTCGTGTCTCGTGGCGTGAATATCGCACTCCATCCTCATGATGCCGATGCCATTGTGGGCTCGCGGACGGTCGCCAAAATGGCTGGACATGGATTCGGTGGAGTTGGGGGTCCGGGGCATGGGCAAGTGCCATGATCCTTTCGTGGGAATGAATGAGAGGGTCAGCGCCGCAAAGGGAACTTGGAGTCTAGTTCCATATCATACGAGTGGCGGCCTTGACTTGCTCGAGGAAGACAAAAGTCAAGATGGTATGAGGTCTGCGGTAGAAAGAAGGACGTGGGCGGTGTTAGTGATACAGTGGGCGACACTACCGCACGTCAATGAAAAACTGCCTGTCGAGGCCCTGCGGTAGAGCTCAGTCGTATGGCGTCACCACTGGGCATCGCTGCTTGTTGCTATGCATCACTGGTTTGCACCGGCACCAAGAGCGCTCGCGGAGGCGGCGTACCCGATTCTGAAGTAGTGCGCGGTGAAGCCCTTGTAGAGTGCGCTGACGCCCTCAGTGCGGATCATCTTGACGATGCAGTCGAAGCCATTTTTGTAGAGAGCGCCGTGCTTGCCATCTTGAGCGACTTTTTGATTGTACTACAGGAAACCCCCGAGGGCCAGGCATTTAGGATGAATAGTCAGTGCGTTAGAATCAAAGACAGCATCGGCAGTCGTGGTGGGGGTGGATGAGGCGTGACAGCGCCATGGAAGGCTGCCGATATACGTCAAATATCAAGCGTCCCGCTACCGCCAAGACCAGATAGATAGATAGATAGATAGATAGATAGATAGATAGATAGATAGATAGATAGATAGATAGATAGATAGATAGATAGATAGATAGATAGATAGATAGATAGATAGATAGATAGATAGATAGATAGATAGATAGATAGATAGATAGATAGATAGATAGATAGATAGATAGATAGATAGATAGATAGATAGATAGATAGATAGATAGATAGATAGATAGAGAGAGAGCATTCCTACCATTCGGGTCATGGCGACGTCAAACGGGTTCATGGCCAAACACACATAGAACGAGGTGACAGCACTGGCAGCAAAGTGCAGCCAGACGTTGGCCTCGCCGTTATCCCGGGCAGTTTTGAACCAGCCCGAGCGGACAAGGAACTTTTTGTTGATATCGTAACTTGAGAGCTGGACGGCTGATCCGACACCAGTGCGAATCATGGCCGCATCGACGCCTCGCCACAACCCGCGAATGCCTTCATTTTTGAAGACGATGGCCAGCGACCGCAGTGTGCCCTGTTGGACGTAGTTGTGCTGGAAGCCGACAGCAGTTGCGCTTGGGGCATACGATTGCATGCGCTGCAGGACGAAGAGGGGGAGGGAGTGGAGCAGTAAGCTGTCTATGGCAACATGTGCTTTCTCGACACCGCGGCACTCATGCGGCACGGACACACAGGTTTTTGAACAGAATCGTTTGGCTTGGGAGTCGAGCACAGCCGCGAACAGACTCAGTTCGGACAGAAAACCCGATGCGAGCCGGACCAGACACACATCACTGCGTAAGCATCACTCACCGTTTTGATCAGAAATAGCGGACTTGCCACAAAGGCGCCGAGAATGCCACTTGAGGCGCCCGCCACCATCATCACTGCAACTTGGTTGTCTTTGCGCTCCGTCCGCCCTGTAAAGTAGTCGGCCGTCTCCTGGTATGCGTTGCGGATAGGTTCGTAGAAGCCCAGGCGACAGCCGTTGAGGAGGATTTGGTAGCCATAGGCCGGCGACAGGCCCTTTTGAAGACCCGAGAAGCCTTCTGTGCGAGCGATCTTCATGAAGGTCGAGAAGGCGTTGCCGTAGACCTTGGGCGGCTGACCGTGCGGGGCAGCCCCGGGGGCAGCAGGCTTCAAGTCAATGTGCTCGCCCTGCAGCTGGAGACGAGTCTTGACGACCTCCATGGGATTCGTGACCGTGACGGCACCTGGACAAGAGAGCAAACAACGATGGCGGACGATTGCCGGTTAGCAAGCACTGAAGGCGGTCTCTGGCGCAAGAACCAAGGCACGTCCATGTATGTCGACCAGACTGCGATATTGCGCGGGATCTCGACAGACGAGACCGACGATGGAAGCCGTTGCATCGACAGCGACCGGAGGCTGGAGCATACCGCAGGCAGCAATTGCGCCCTGGCTGAAGCCGACAGCGTGCGTGACGAATGTTGACCAGGCGTCCGACGGAGGTTGTGGCACGGCAGACATTCTGACGAGGGAGGCAGGGATGTGGACGACGGGGTGGTGTGGGGCTGGATGGAGGAAGAGCCGAGCGGGATGGAAGCTGGAAGATCAGCAGCGGCGACGCATGGTGGAACCCCAGACACGGCAGCGATGCCGTCCCCCACAGGAACTCGGCGCCACGAGCGACACACGAGCTGACAGTGCCGGCGACATATGGGGTGAGATTGCCGACAGCAGGACGACGGCAGGACGGTGGCATACATACGCACCCGATGCAGCAAGCTGAGCGAGTGGAACAAGTGCAGCAAGTGCAGCAAGTGCAGCAGACCGATCTCATCGGCTCGAGAGAGGGCCAAAGAGACACCCAGTCCGTGGCGGTGGCCTCAGCAATCTCCGGCCAGACAAGCAGAGATTGTGGCCGCGGCGCGATTGGCCACAGAGGTCGCACAGATCGCCCCGAAGCGGCAGTGCTGCGCACGGCAGCGGCGCGCTGCTGCCACAGAACGGCACTGCGACACAGTGTGGCGCAGCAGTGACTCTGCGGCGTCAGCGAGGCCGCCCCAGAGGCGAGGACAGGCCGAGGACAGGCCGAGGCCGGCGCGAGGGCGAGGCGGCGCCGATGTCGCTGGCGAGAAGACCAGACTTTTTTTCTCGCCCGTGCGACGCCGATGGCCAACCAAGCAACCCGCGCGCTCATATCACCTCCCCCATCTCCCTGATCTGCTCTCTTGCCAGAACATCCCTGATCGTGGAGACGCCGGTTCTGCATGCTCTTTGTGCGGACCTTGATTCATCATCGCCTTCGTCACCCGAGACCGCCCACGCTCCTTCCAAAGACCGCCTCGGTCCTGCTCATTCCTCAAATCGAGCCACAACCCGTTGCCACGATCCTCATCCGAGCCATGAGCGCCGCTGCTCCTCAACCTCAAGAGCCCAAGAAGGTAGGCTGGATCGGTGCCGGCTCATGCATCCGTTGCTGATGGCGCTGGCACACGCACTGTCGAGTGCTGCTTCTGTTTGGTCCAGAAGGCATCATGTTCTTGCACGATCTGCGCTAATCCTGGTTCAACATGATCACCGCTGCGCTTGAAAATGATGGAACATGTCCCCCGACACCATCGAATCCGTGTCAATGGATCCCAACCCGACCACTGCCTCAACGTGGACCGCCTTGCTTTGGCCTCGAATGGGCCGCCGAATACCTCACCCCCATGTTCGCGGGACACGATGCGCATCTCGCCCGGAAATCTCCCGCTGGACTCTGCCACTTCCATCGCCCATCTTCCTTGATACGATGGTCATCCGGTGGATATCAAACATCAGCCGTCTGCTCGACGTGATGCCCTGCGGGCGATTGAGAAGCGAGTTCAATCCCGATGGGAAGAAGACAAGGTCTTTGAAAAGGATGCGCCCTTGCCCGGCGAACCTAGCCCACCCAAGTTCCTCGTCACCTTCCCCTACCCGTACATGAATGGAAAGCTGCATCTGGGTCACTCGTTCTCCGTCTCCAAATGCGAGTTCAACATCGGCTATCAGCAGCTCAAGGGCAAGCGCGCTCTCTTCCCCTTTGGCTTCCATTGCACGGGTATGCCCATCAAGGTCAGTGTCCATGGTGCGCTTATGCAAATGAAAATCTGCATGATGCACCTTGTATTCCGTGTACCTGATCGTAGTTACACTCCGGCGTATATTGGCGTCTGCTGTAAGCTGCATGGACAGTGATTGTCACTGAGCAACGTATTGTTCACTTGAAATGGTCACCAGGCCTGTGCCGACAAGCTCTTGCGCGAAATCGATCTGTTTGGCCAAAACTTTGAAAAGTTCAAGGGTATGCTATCTCTCATGCGGCATTGGTCTGCTTATATTGCAATAGTTGTGACGGTGGTATGATTCCGATAGGAGCTGCGGCGCCCATGTCCAGATGATCGGCTTGGATCATGGCAACCGGCGATCGGTGTTGGAACATCGTGGGATAGAAAGGACCCTTGAGATGGAGCGAGCGTAAATTATTCACCATCAATCGCACAACACATTCACGATTGATTCACAGAAGAGGTTGCTGCCGAGCCTGAGCCTGAGCCGCAGGTCGAAGCTACCGGGCCCGTCGACCCAACCAAGATTGTGAAGAAGGTACCATTGAGTCGTGCGCTTTGGACCCAAGGGAGTCTTGATGCATCTCCGTCCATTGACTCATTGATGGTGACCGACGCCTTGATTTCCTTTCTGTTTCGTGCAGCATGGCAAAGTCAACAGCAAAAGCACTGGGTTGAAGTACCAGTTCCAAATCATGCGAAGCATGGGGGTCCCCAACGAGGAAATCCACAAGTTTGCCGATCCCAAGCACTGGCTCTACTACTTTCCTCCACATGCCATTGTATGTTGTCGCTGGCAATGAGTATCACCTGCGGGCCGCCACCCCCGGTCCTTACGGTGCTAGTTGGATCGGCCGTGCCGTCTCCAGTTCCTTCGGTTTGCTACTGTCCTGCGCAGACATCCTTTAAAACCCGCGCTCACATGCAGAGCTGCGAGCCCGTGATCACCTCGCGGCTCTGTCTACCTTGCCAACCGCCGTTATCGCAATCTTACCAACATTGATACTCCGGCGTCTCATCTAGAGCGACCTGAAAGACTTTGGCGCCCACATCGACTGGCGCCGCTCCTTCATCACCACGGATGTCAACCCGTATTACGACTCGTTCATCCGATGGCAGTTCAACAAGCTGAAGAGCCTGCAGCCCGTCAAGATCGACTTTGGCGAACGTCTGACCATTTACTCTCCGCTTGATGGCCAGGCTTGCATGGACCACGACCGTGCCACAGGCGAAGGCGTCGGTGTCCAAGAATACACTGCCATCAAGTTGCAAGTACAGCTCGCCGAAATGCTTGCCGAGGGCGAGCTTCGTCGTGACATTGTCCAGGGCAAGCCTGTGGGCCAAAAGATCACTCAACCCGAGTTCCTCGAACGCCTTGGCGACCGCAAGCTGTACTACGTTGCTGCAACCCTGCGTCCCGAGACCATGTACGGCCAAACCAACTGCTATGTTGGCGTCGATCTGGACTATGGCGTCTTTATCGTCAACAAACATGAGGCCTATATTTGCACCGAGCGTGCTGCGCGCAACATGGCCTTCCAGGGCATCTTTGAGGAGCGAGGCAAGGTCAACAAGATCACCGACCTCAAGGGCTGGGATTTGGTTGGAGTGCCCCTCTCGGCTCCTCTCGCGCAGTTCCCGACTGTGTACACGCTTCCCATGGAAGGAGTGCTGGCCGCCAAGGTACCGATCGATGCTAAGTTGACGCGGATTGCAGTCTTTGGCTGAAAAGACTGGACATGTCCGCCTGCCGCCCGAAGATACGATGTGCATGTGCATGTGCATGTGCATATGCTGACTAGGTCTGTCCTTTCGCTCCCTCCTTCCAGGGTACAGGTGTTGTCACCTCGGTTCCCTCAGATTCGCCCGACGACTACATCACCCTGCAAGATCTGTCCAAGAAGCCTGTGTACTACGGCATCCAACCCAAGTGGGTCGAGCCGTTCTTCAGCACACTCAAACCCATCATCCAAACCCCCAACTATGGCGACCTGGCTGCCAAAACTGCTGTTGAGAAGCTCAAGATTAAGAGCCAGAAGGACAAGAAGGAGCTTGCCGAGGCGAAGGAGCTGGTTTACAAAGAGGGATTCTACAGCGGTACCATGGTTGTCGGATCCCAGGCTGGCAAGTGCGTAAAATGTTGGTCGATGCACATCCCAGCCTCGCGCTTTCTATTAGTGGGCTCTGCACTTGCATTAACGAATATCCCTCGGCTCTGTCACTGCCTCGTCTGTTACAAGTGCGTGGTTGCTGACGCCCGATATATGTCTTGTATCTCATATCCATACAATTTGTTCTCGGACCGCCGCAGACCTGTCCAGGAAGCAAAGCCGATCATTCGCGCCGAGCTGATCGAGCAAGGCCTCGCTTTTGCCTACGCAGAGCCCGACGGCCTTGTCGTCAGTCGCAGTGGCGATGAATGTGTCGTCACTCCGGCGGACCAGTGGTTCATGAACTATGGCGAGCAATCCTGGCGCCAGACCGCCGAAAGGTACGAATTGCTGTGTGCAGGGAGCGCATCATGACGGAGTGGCCCAGCTGTGGGCGATGGGCAGTGGGTGGCGTGTCGCCCTGTTCATGGCCCTAACAAATTGCACGCGTTCATGTCCAGCTGCCTTGCCAAGATGGAAACGTTCGGACCAGAGACTCGCAACGCCTTCGAGAAGACCCTGGCCTGGCTCAACCAGTGGGCCTGCTCGCGTAGTTACGGCCTCGGCACACGTCTTCCCTGGGACCCTCAGTACCTGATCGAGTCTCTCAGCGACTCGACTATCTACATGGCCTACTACACCGTCGCTCATCTCCTTCATGGTATACATCCCTTCCTGCCTCTGCTGCTGCTCGAATCCTTGGGGCTGTTGTGTGTGTACGCTTTCGATCCGCTGTTTCGTACGCGGCTCTTTCCAATGTTCAGTCGATCTTTTCCTCAGACTCACCCTCCCTGACTTGTTTCAATGCAGGCGGTAACCTCGATGGATCCAAGCCCGGCCCGCTCGGCATCAAGGCTGAGCAGATGTCGCATGAAGTGTGGGAGTTCATCCTCAACAAGAGCGCCCCCTTCCCCCAAACCGACATTCAGAAGGAGTCTCTGGAACTGATGCGCCGCGAATTCCAGTACTTTTACCCTGTCGATCTGCGCTCCTCTGGAAAGGATCTGATTGGCAACCATCTTACCTTCTTCATCTACAACCACGTCGCCCTCTTTGACGAAGAGTTTTGGCCCAAAGCTGTCCGCACCAACGGCCATTTGCTCCTCAACGGCGAAAAGATGTCCAAGTCGACCGGTAACTTCATGACCCTGAACGATGCCGTTTCGACCTATGGTGCTGATGCGACTCGCTTTGCCTTGGCCGATGCCGGCGACGCTCTGGATGACGCCAACTTCTTGGACAAGACTGCCGACGATGCCATTCTCAAGTTGTTTATCGAAAAAGAGTGGATCGAGGAGAGTCTTCGCAACGGTGGCCAAGACCTGCGCTCGGGCGAGCTCAACTGGATCGATCGTGTCTTTGCGTCCGAGCTTCAAAAGATCGCCAGCGAAGCCGACAAGGCGTACCAGTCCATGCTCTATCGCGAGGCCCTGAAGTTCTCGTTCTATGAGATCCAGAACGCCAGAAATGAGTACCGCAAGGCCACGGTCACCGCAACCAACATGCATGTTGATCTCGTCAAGCAGTTTGTCGAAATTGAGGCCCTTCTCATGTCCCCCATCACTCCCCACTGGAGCGAGTACATTTGGTCAGAGGTGCTTGCCAAGGTAAGTTTGCTTAAGCGGTTCAGCCTTGGACTGGCCCACCTGATCGGCACTGAGGGGCATGGAGAGCCGCGGTTGTGGTTGTGGTTGTGGTTGTGGTTGTGGTTGTGGTTGTGGTTGTGGTTGTGGTTGTGGTTGTGGTTGTGGTTGTGGTTGTGGTTGTGGTTGTGGTTGTGGTTGTGGTTGTGGTTGTGGTTGTGGTTGTGGTTGTGGTTGTGGTTGTGGTTGTGCCAACCAAATGGCACGAACTTGGGACCACAGCTTCTCCCGAATTCCGCTGGCCTGAGGGAAGCCGCCTGTCTCACGCCTCCGCTCGTTCTCCAGCCAACCAGCATCCAAAAAGCCCATTGGCCCACTTTCACCGTCCCTGTCGACGAGTCCCTCCTTGCGGCTGCCGACTACATCCGTGACCTCGTGTCCAAGATCCGATCGGCCGAGGATGCTGCCGCAAAGAAGAAGGCCAAGAAGGGTGGCAAGACCGAGGAAAAGGACGACGGACCCAAGTCCATCCGCATTTATGTTGCCGAGACATTCCCGCAGTGGCAGGACGAAGCTCTGTCGGCACTGAAGGAGTGTTGGGACTCGGTAGGTCCAAACGTGCAACGCGCCTCGGTCACGGTTCTAGAACGTCTGACGACAGGGTGCGTGAGACAAGTCCGAGGTTCGCTGACTTGATTATCTTTCCCGGCTCTCCTCCGATTCCTCAACCAGACCGAGAAGAAGTTCATCCCAGGCAAGGACAAGGAAATCCTGACCCAGCGCGGCCTCATCAAAGACAAGCGCGTGATGCCCTTCGTTGCTGCCATGAAGGTACGAACAAGTCCGCATGCCCTATTCCCACTGATACCATGTCTTTCCTGAGCTATAACCCAAGACATGAGCAACGACGCTGCAATCGTCGCATCTCGCGATCATATCCGAGGTGCCCCACCGATGCTGACACCCTCGCTCAACCTCTCGATAGAAAACCGTTGAGGTCGGCGGCGCGATTGCCTTTGACCGCGCACTTCCTTTCCATGAGTACGAGACGCTGAGCTCCAACGTCGATTTCATTGCCCGTGAGCTTGCCGTTCTGAAAATCGCCGTCGTCGACATTGTCAAGAAGGAGACCGTCACCCTCGGACCCTTCACCGAGGAAGATGTCAAGAAAGCCGACGGAGCGGCCCCGGCTGTTCCTGGCCAGCCTACTTACCGAATCTGGTAACTCCACATCGAGCATCATCGGACGGAGCAGCGGCTCCTCCATGAAGCAGCAATGTCCCCGTGATGGTATTGAAAAGCGAAAGAGGCTGCCCTCGTTCTCGAGGCAGAAAACCACTCTCTCGGACTCGTGAATACATACATGCGTCATTCGTGATCACAACGACCATCCACCATCGGTGGGAGCTGTTGGGTTGCTGACCGCGAGGCCATACAATACCCGGCGTCACAAGTTAGCCCGATTTTGCCTGTGCTCGCAAGAATTACTCTCTGTCGATTTTGCTTCTCCGTGATCATTCCAAATGATCATTCCAGATTTTCGCTGTGGGTCACGAGGGTTTACACCTCTACGATCACAAAGAACTTGGTCATGGCCAGCGACCGATGTTTTGAAGCAACAAAATATCAAGTCGATGGTCAAAATTCGGGGTGTCCCGTTTTTCATTGCACTAGTATTATTCTATCACACCACGAATCGACTACTAAGCAGGGAGCGACTGTGGATGGGTCCATCGGAAGCTGGCATCTCCTCGAGGCACAATCTTGTGGAGTCATGGGAGAATCGCACTGGTCACGACTTGTCTGTATCGCATATGTCCTTGGGCGATTCGGTGACAGGGAGAGGAAGTCCCTGCTGGGCCTTTTGCAGATTCTTGGCATGGGAATAGATGATGCCGGCCGTGAACGCTGTAGCGGGGCAGCATTGGTCGACAATCGATCGACACGTCGAGAGATGCCGGCCAAGGGAGGGTTGCGTCGAAGAGGGTCAGACATACGCCGCGCAAAGCGCTGGTCAGCAAGTGCTCTGGTTCTGGTATAGATGGCGAACACATCCCACGACAGCATCGGCTCCCACCAACGAGGACATATTGCCAGATCGCACCGGATGATCAGCAGCAGGTCTCCTGGAGCCCTGCGGCAGCACGCTCGTTGCCCAGCACTTACCAATGAGGACACCAAGGACGCCAGGGACGGTAACTGCATCGTCAAAGAAGATCATGCCGGCAATCGCAATCGGAAGCTTGTTGAGGGCACCCACCATACTGGAGGGAAGCAAACGAATCTCCACATTAATACCCTGCCGATAGATCCCGTTGCGACGATCAGCACCACGCCGCAGCCCGCATGGCTCACCTGTAGGTTGTGGAGGACGTCACTCGGACACACCAGCTGCTGCCGTAACTGATGGCAAACCCGCTGATGCCAGAGATGGCGAGGGCGATGGCGAGGCCCTGGAACTCGGACTGCCGCGAGGCATCCAGATCATCGCCCCAGTATCGATCGACGGTCTTGCGGTACTCGTTGCCCTCGGTCAGGAACGACATCACAACGAGGATCGGGATGGAGAGCAGGTTGTTGTAAAAGACCGTGTCGTTGTCCTTGAAGCCAACCTCCTTGATCTTGCCTCGCATCATGAGGGCGTAGAAGGCCGTCGTGAGGCAGTTGGAGACCATCCATCCGTACGCAACAAAGTTGCTCGCCTCGACCTTGGCCTGTGCCTTGCCGCTGGCAATATCAGACGCCCCTGCAGACAGCCAGAATCGAGGGGTCGTTGGTCGTTGGTCGTTGGTCGTGCGAATCCGGGCGATCCACAAGAGCGCACATCGGTCGCCCGGAACGGCGAATGGCGCATCGGATGCTGCTTCTCCCGATACGATCGAAGGGAGCAACATGAGCCTGCAGCGGCCCAACGAGTGGCTCGCCGGGCTGCTCTCGGCCGTTCTGCTGCATCATTGCCGACGGGGCCCGAGATGCGCACTTACCAGCAATGACCGAGGACATGACCATCATGATGAACGACAGGAACATCAGCTTGGTAATGCGCGAGCCGTTGAACCACATCAGCTCGCCATAGGCGATCAGGATGATGGTGAGGTTCTTGAAGATGGTGAAGAGCGGGATGGACATGTACTGGAGAGCCTTTGAGCCGGTGTAGATCATGGCGACGAGAGCCAGCGAGACCACAAACCACTTCTTGGCCTCCTCGACCTTGAAAGCCCGGTGGGACGACCACTTGAGGGCGACAAACAGCTCCAGAATAATCACGCAGACGATCGATTGGATTGCCAGCACCAGGAAGTTCATGTTGAACCTGTAGGACGACAGGACGACCTTGTTGGTGACGGTCATGAGGATCGACGAGCCGCAGTAGGCCAGGATGGCCGCGGGGGCGCCGGCCAGAAAGCTGGTGGTGACCGTCATGGCTGGGCGTGCGGGAATCGGCGACAGCGACAGCGACGGCGATGGCGATGGCGACGGTGATGGTGATGGTGATGGCGATGGCGATGGTAGCAGGCACAATCGAGGAGGCAAGGGGGCAAGGGGGCAAGGGCAAGGGGGCAAGGGGAGGGAAAGAATGCCCGCTTGGCTTGAATGTCGGAGTGGCGAAGCTTGAGGAATCGCACAGATCGAAACGAAAGGCCTGATCCCCAGCACAGATGGAGACTACAGAGTGCCCAAAACGAAACGGTGCGCCCTGTTCTGAGCCAGGGTTGTCGTTGTTTTTCTGGATCTCGAATACACCTCATCCATCGTTCGTCTTGCCCAAGCAGCACGTTCAGAGTTCATCAAGGCAGAGCGCCTCGAATCACTCGACTTCCTTGATATGGAGATCCCATGGAGCTCGCCAGATGATCGAGTTTATGCGCCACACTCATGCGTCGTGATATCTGAAGCCATTCAGTGTTCACCGCCAAATGTGCAATCCTGAAACCCACCCACCCTGGTCGCATGGCCCAACGGAACCCGATCCTTCGAATCCACAGGGGTCTCACAACGCGCACCAGAAAATCGTTGATGTGAATTTCAAGCTCGGCATATTATAACTTTCTATGGCCCCAATTGGCGTGGTCTCAAATATACGAATGCGCACATCCTCATTCAAATACAGGATACCCTTGATCTCGATGGGCGGTCGGAAACGGTGGCCCCATGCTCTTGAGCACCAGGAAGGTTATTCTCTGCGCCAGCATCGGTAATTTGTGGGAGGCTTCATTTTCCCTTCTCATCCAGGACATCTCTGTTGATTTCGTGATCTTCCCAGCTATGAGACCAGTACGTAATTGCATATGGTTTCTGACCGGGCCTGCCCTGGGCCCGCAGCAGCCGTTTGCATTCGTTCTCGTTGATTGTGGAGCGCTGAGCACTGCAGATCTCGATAAGGTCTGTAGAATTACTCCAGTTGTAAGGAAAGATGTACTCTGTGAGAAGTACAACGGAAGCGAAGCAAACCGTGGTCAGTACAGATTTATGTTCACCGCTGGATCCGGGCACGAGTGCCATCCGTACATCCTGCTCGCAATTTCGGCACACCGGAATTTTAGTCACTGCATTTGTGAGAAATGTGCGAGTTTGAACTGCCTACCGCTAGCGAGAGTGACGAGCTGTTCGGTCTCTCCACTTGTATAATTGGAATAGATCATCCAGGCTGTCCGCAGCATAATCGGGCCAGTAGCCTCCTCAGCAACCCAAACGCCACGTTTGCGACCCTTCATGATCTCATTGATGACAACCATCCAAAAGGGGTGGCCAGGCGCGCTTGCCATCCATGCATTTGGGATTGAGTGTTTGAAGTCCATGTCCTTTCCCAGGAAAGAAAGGAGGGCTGGGCCTCGGTCGACAAGCGAGAGCTTCCCCTTATCATACGGTGCATCCATGGCCCGAAGACACTCCATATCCAGATCGGCATAGACGCCTCCATATTTGTACATGTAGAGATAGCGAACCGAGTCGGCTCGCTCGATATTGTTGGGGAAGCTATCATAGGTGTCAAGAAACCACGGAAAGTTGAGCTCGACAAGTCTGCGATTCATCTCATCGGTCCAGAGGATGTAGGTCCAGGTGGGGTGATGTTGTTTCCACGTGTTTGCCCATCTCTCGAATCGCTATGGAGGAGCAACGTGCACGATAGCTTGCTTTAGAGCGGAGATTAGAGAGCACACCATCCAAAATCGACAGTCGAGATGTGTAGTCCATTCAACGGGATCAATCGCTTGGTCGATACAACAGAGCGGCTTCGCCCTCTTCTGCAAGACATCAAAAAATTCGCATTTTGCGCGATGGTGTGCTGACGGCAGCGGTGCCGAGTCTCCGACCGCGGCTTGGGTCTTCAAAGTACGGGGTTGCTTCCATTCCCCCCCCTGAACCAGCTCAACGCCACCAAACACTCACCTTTGGAAGCGTGCTGTTCTTCCACGACTGGTGGATGATTTTTGGAATACGGAGAGGATGTAGCTGGGTACTGCAATAGCATTCCGGCCGCGCATTCAAATCCACTTTGGAAAAGCGCTGCGTCCAACGCAGAGCAACCAGGAGTGTGCAGATGCAGAAGAACCAAAAAATGATCGATTGACGAGAATAAATGGTCATCTCTGGGAGCTGAGGTTGGGGTAAATGGTGTTACCGTCGACTCTTCTCGTCCAAGAAAAGACTCGCGAGATTGTTGGAACCAATCAAATATTGGTAGTTTGGGTGGCAAGATTCCAAGGAATCGATCCGAAAAGGCGAATGAGGTGGCTCGATTGGGAAGCGGTCGTTGACAGCCAGGAATGCACCACCGGTATGCGGCTCTCAGCGATGCACTTGGAAAACGAGCGTGGTCGTGACGCAACCAACGCCGAGTAACATAAGCGAAGATGGCGAGGAATGCGCTTCGACGTGGAGCGGTCTTGCAAACTCGGTGCTGATAGATATATCGGGTGCTGCAGCACAAGGGCGCGCTTGGCACGGTGATCGCAGGCCGCGCTCGCCGGCTGGCGCGCTGACGAGAGCGCCAATGAGGCCAGGCGGAATGGCGCGAGCGCGAACCCGTGGTTGGTCGCTCCGTGCTACCGGCGCTCCACTCGATCACCTCTGTGTGCCAATCACAACCATCATCTCGGCTGCCTGTCGTCTGCGTTCAAGTTCCCCCCCCCGCAATGCCCGAAGCATTGAAAGCCGTTGGTATGTGCATCACCCGACAAGAGACGTCCGGTGGACTCCGCCGCTGTTCCTGACCGACGAGAGCGACTGATTCGACCTCCATCGCCGACTCTGCCCCAGATTTCGACACCTTCCTGGCCAAGTACGGCTTGGAGCAATACCGGGCTGCTTTGGTCGACAACGAGGTCGACTCGGCCGACCTGGTATGTCGCTATGGATTGCAATCAGGATAGCGCAGCCAGAGCAGTCTGTCTCCTCTCCGTCCTAGCGTCCTTGGCGCTCACCAAGTCTGCTGACAGGTGCTTGAGCTTTCGGAAGCGGACTTGGCCAGTCTGTCCCTTGGGGCTGAGGCCGTGCAGAGAATCAAACAAGCCCAGGCCACTCCCCTTGCTACCGCTGTCGACGAGGCCAACCCGAATGCCGGCAACGATGCACCAGCCACCCCGGTGTGCCATCAGGGCCATGGTGCCCATGATATCTACATCAGGCGGGTATTTGCGACTGCTGATGCTGATGCCGACGTGCGGCGGTGGCGCTAACCGTGTCGATTTCCAGTTATCAATTCGTTACCGAGGCCAAGTCCGCCGAACGACTGTATGAAAGCCTATCGGTCAGCCAAGCTGCCCAGAAGCCCCTCTGCGTCTACTTTGACAAGTTGTGCACCCAGGACGTTTCGCAGTGGAAGCTTGAGAACCTGACCGAGATGCGGGGTCTCAGCGTCATTATTGTGCTGATCTCCGAGAAGGGACTGGCTTCCACCCGCGAGGCTCATCTCAAGCCCGACACCCAGTTCCTGGAGGTATGCGTCTCGATGCGAGGACTGTGCTAGTAGGGGCATACAGCTTTGGGCCAGGAGCATACCTCCTCTGGCCGCTGGCAAGTCTCAGGACACCCGAGCTGTTGCTCACTCGCCGCTGTTGCTCGCCTCAGGTCCAGCATAGCCTGAAGCTGATGCAAGAATCCGTTGGGAAAGAGTCGTCGGTCATTGTCCAGCCTGTTTTTATGTGGTCCAGAGAAACAGTCGACAACGAGTCCTTTGTCCGCAAGTTCTTTCCTGATCCCAACGAGTTTCCTGACGAGCCCCCCTGCCACGAACTGAGCCCCGTCTTTGCGGACGGCAAAGCCATGACAATCCAGCAGACTCTGCGAGAGCTTTTGAAGCTTCAAGCGCTTGATGCTGCCGATGGCGAGGCCCTTGACAGGTGCGCTTTGGTCATGAGAGATCATGGTTGAGGAGCCGTGCGATCGATTCATGGAGCCAGCTGGTTGCTCTGGGGCAGGCTCGCTGACTCGATCTACTCACCAACTCTGTCGCTGGCTTGTCCGTAACATGGATGCAGACTCGTACCCCACATTCGCGATCTAGTCGCCAAGTCAAAAAAGTAGATACCGGCCATCCTCCCATTCTCTCGTGCCTGTGTTGAACCCGATGACGAACCGGGCCACCCAAGGACAAACTATCGCCTATGGAGAATCATCAGAGGACTCTGTCTCGGCGAGATTAGAGGAACTGGGCTGGCAGATGCGAGATAAATGACAATCAATACAGCATGCAATAATCAGCCTTGAAGATGGCCACTCTATGGAACTATAATCTATCCTTGTTGGTTCGTTTGGTCCCTGTGCAAGCTCCGCTACGCATGGGAAGCATATCGCCGTACTAAGCTGCTGGATATTTGCATACAATCTGCTCAAGGCTGCGAGATCCAGTCAAAGGACCATGACCAAGCGAAACAGAGATGCTCCTTGGTTGAGAGTACTGGATGTGGCGGCGACAATTACTGAAGGTGGCGCACAACCACACATTGAAATGAAGAGGATAACCCGGACACAACCTCTATACTGGCGATTCATCAGTCGCCCATGCCACAACAGCCGTGGCGAACCTTGGAAACCGTCATGATCGACTCGCATACCGGGACCATGTTCCTGGTCACATTGGTGTTGTGGTGGTGAAGTTCCGGATCATTGTGCATTAACCCAAAGCACTGCAACACAAGCACACCTCGATGGATCTGTGCAGGCCACTCTCCCTTTGTGGCGATCGACGCTAACTCCACATGTGTGTTCTTGACCACATCGCCGCTCTCCCAAAACGAAACGAGACACCTTGTTGAGCCCAGATGGCGATTTTTTTCTGGATGTGAATACACACCCCATCCATCGCCCACCATGGCCAAACAGTGTGCCCAAGAAGACCAACATTGTGATCGCCTGGGAAACGCTTCGTGGGAGCAAAGGAAGAGATACGCTTCCAACCCACGGGGAGTCAGGTTGACTTGATATTCGAGCGATTCCACCCCCAAATCGAGCCATCGATGCAGCCAGGAACATGGTCCCGGCATGCCAGCAGATCGTTGCCACAGGAGATCGTCGCCACAGGAGATCGACCGGGTGGATTCGGGGCGGTGTTTTCCAACCAGAAACGAAGCAATCACACGGCTTGCTCACCAGGGCCTACTAAAGTTCACCAGGCTTCAGGCCTCTGATGCCAGAGAAAGGGGCAAAGTCCCGTTTTTCTGGAACAGCTGTAGAAGGACTGCATGCTTGATATGGATGCACTTGCTATCTCTTGAAAACGGCATGAACGAGTGCCGGACTGATCAACTCCATGTGCAGGGAACCCCATTCTATTTTTCATTGAGAGCTAAATACACCTTTGCCATTGAATCCATATAGCCAGCTGACTCGAAAGGGAGTGTACAGAGCGATATCGGCAGCACTACAGCAGGTCGTCAGCTAAACCTGGGTTGAGTACTTGTCCGAGCATCAAGAAGCTACCAGTGATGAATTTTTCATCCGACTTGGCCCGATGAAGAACAATAATGTCGGGCGGAACATTGACGAGTGGATCGGGGAATTCAGTCCACATTCGACTTTCGCTTTCTCCAACCATGTTGAGCTCGCCCGGGTTTGAGGTCGCGTTGTAATGGAGCAGCCAAGTTGCAAGCTTGCGGTCTTCGAATCCTATGGTATTGTTGGCGGCGAACTCGCTCTGTGCAATCCAGATGCACAAATCCATCGACAGAGTGTAGGCATATCCGCCCATGTAGACATAATCCTCGAATCCAATCTGGGGGAGCCCATAATAAATGGACTTTTTTGGGAGACCCTCGATACGTTCGATGTATCTAGGCAAATGTATAATTGCATCGGTGTCGAGCTTCATCACAGTTGCATAGTTGAATCCTTGGGGGCCTTTCCCGGAACCCATGTAGGAGAAGTACGTATGGGTCTTGCCCTCGTCCATGTTTTCGGTGCAGTCGAGGAGCAGGAGGTCGCGATGTGTAAACTGCTCCAGCTTCAAGAGTTTGCTCATCATCGGACTCGTCGGCTTTTCGCATATAACAAAGTAGAGTTCGAGGTTCACCCAGGGCTTGGGATAGATATGCAAGTAGCCCATACGTATCAGCGCTCGACGGGCATACGATTTGGCATCCGTGAAAATTCCAATGAAATGCTTCTGAGGAGTGGAATTCCAATCGAGCGCGGGTGAAGGCATCACAATCGATTTCCCCGATGTTTGGGAGATGGCTCTTTGGCTCAGATACTGGCCGGCAATGACAATCAAACTAGTGATGATGATGATGAGAAAATACCTCCTCTGGGAGAAAGTGAAAGGTATCCATGCATATTTGCTGCACATGGTGAAAAATGCCTCGACCAATGCCTCGACCAAGATCAAAAACAGTGATGGAGATAGTCTGGGGCGCCCAATGACAGAGTGGCTAAAACGTCCTTCGGCCTTTATCGCCAGCGGCAAGAAATCTCCTCCGATCCCACGATCCCACGATCCCATAATCCCATAGTCCCGCCACTACCTCCTCCCGCCATCGCGCTATCGCGCCGCCGCGCTCTCCCGCCATCCCGCCGTCCCGCCAACTTGCCATCTTGTCACCTTGTCAGCTTGCTATTTCGCCAGCGAATTAATCGTCACAGTATAGCACAGGCTGATCGGAGCATCGGATATAGAAACAAGAGCTCAGCCAATCCATATGGTGTGAGGACATGCGTACTTCCGCCGATTCACTTTCACATCCGTTGTTGTCTGCGACAGCGTTCAGTGTAAAGTTTATCGAATGAAGAAATGTATTCAGCGAATGGGTCAGGGTCCGATATTGTGATGGCTATATATTTGGTGAATAACGGTCCTGGACATGGGAATATTGACATTGTGGAATCGCTATATCGGCGACATCCACGGAGCAATTGCGGTGAATGGTCGACCGCACAGCTCCTGTCTCACGTCGCGAAAGTGTGAACATATATTAGGTGATGCGCCCGATCATAGGGCAAACCCAGACAGATCACTCCTTCATCGGCCAGTGGTGGAAGTGCTCGGAATAGCAAAGGAAAGCCAAGCAACCGAGGCTGAATAGGTATCCCTTGCGTAGCAGCTACGGGGCTGGCGGTCGGTGAGGGTGAAATATATGCATGTGTTCCTTCCCAATATGAGTGGGCGATACTATTGTTGGAAAGATGCTCGGCTCAGCCAGTCGGTCGATCCTGAAATATCGCTCAGACGTGCCGAGACGTGCCGAGACATGCTGAGACGTGCTAGGAAGGAGCGGCAAAGAGCGGGATTCTTTCCCGCCATTCGGTCCCGCGGTCGACCTTTGGCTTGTCAGGCGCCAAGACGATCAGTCTTTACCCATCGAGTGCTGGATGCTAGATCTGAATAAAGCCCCATGTCGCGCGGCTCGCTCCTACTCGTAGCCTTCGATCCTGTTCGCAGATCATCTGGTGTCGAAGGACGAGATCGGGTCCATATATCGCCTTAATCTCAGCTGCCAAAATCGATCAACAGTTTTCCATCATATCTTTCTGCCACACTCTCGACAGTCTTCGATTTTGATTTGCTTCACAATGGCTCTCTTGCCTCGTCTATCGTCTGTTCCCAGAAAGGCCCCTCGCGTTGTTTGGTTGCTCGTTTTGTTTGCACTGGCACTCTCGGGTTGGCTATATTACTCTCAAACGAGCAATGAACTGCAGCAACCGATAGCAGCTGTGAAGGCTGGTGACTCGAGGGTGGTCGAGACCGATCAGGATTTCATGTAAGTTCGCGGTGATTGCATCGCCCGAGACTTTGACAAGATTTGAAAGCAAGTGATCAAGTCACACTAAAGGCAGGGTGCTTGTGATCAAGTTATTCGATCGATGCGAGTTTGTCGATCATATTCAAGAGTGACTTTGGTTGAAGTTTGTCACCGCCGGCTATATATGACACTGTTTTGAATTTGGACCGATGTTTACTCGCGATCACATTCACAGCATAATTCCCGAACCAGCTGGTCGAGTGCAAAGCCCTGCCAGTGATGAGATCAAACAGGCTGATCAGGGATCACACGAGCACGAATCTCATGAAAACCGTCCGGTCGAAGCTGCCCATGACGTCGTGGTCGATCACAAGTCCGACGTCATTCAGAAACCCGAAGTCACCAACTTTAAGACTGCTCGTGAGGGAATCGAAAGGTGCGCTCGAATCTCGGAACGCATTTGTCTAGCAACCATAAATGTGGTTGCGAATCACGATTCATTGCGGCGCGTAAAAGTAGTGCCAGGGACGCTGCCAATGTAAATCGCTCTGCCTGGCGTCTAACGTGTCCCGATATTGGCTGGCCTCCATCCTCTGCATTTTTCGACGACAACCGAAATCTCCAGCTTGATGAAGTATATTCGAAGTCCCAATGCGTCAGCTTGCGGAAATCCTGTTCTGGTTGGGGGACCACTTGATCGCAAAGGCGACGGTGTCTGGACGGTCTGCGCCGATCGTATCCTCAGGGATGGCCAGCCCTGTGTTGTTTATTCATTCGGCATCTGCAACGATTTTTCCTTCGACGATGAGATGAATTTGAAGGGCTGTGAGGTAAGGGAGCCTATGCTAACGGAACACTCTGATAATTCGTCGGAGTCTGGCAATATTGCAGGGAAACGCTCCGCTGCATCCGTGTTCACCCGCACATCCTCGATAGCCACCTTATCACAAAGCCACGGGTGCATCCACCGCTAATACCACCAACCGTGACCATTTGATGCGGTCGATTCATTCTAATGAATGCCCGTATAGGTTCATTCCTTCGATCCCTCAATGGGGGTCGAATCTTACAGCCGATCGAAAACCCACTGGTTCCACGACGCCGGTATCTCTGGTATTGACGACTCCAATTACACCGACCATCGGTCGTCCATGCTCGGAAAGGGAGTCAAACCCTGGGTTGTGAAGACAATCCCTTCTTGGATGTCAACCCTCTCTCACAATCATATTAGTCTTCTCAAAGTCGACGTCGAATACTGCGAATGGGATGCCCTGAACCAGTTGCTGAAGAGTCCCGATATTCAGAACATTGACCAAATAATCTTCGAGGTCCACTTCTGGCCTGGACGGCGCTCGAATCCAGAAGCGGTATCTGTTTTGGATGCCGTCCAGTCATGGATGGATGTCTTGATAACCATCGAAAAGGCTGGATTCCAGCATTTTTCAACCCACGAGAACCCTATGAGCTCCGGAGAAGTGATTGATGAATGTAAGTTGCATGTGATGCTATCTCTCTCTTGGTGAAGTTGCGCCAAATGATATGATCTTCTGAGGAGCAATGGTCCTTGCCTGAGATACTTGTATAAGCTAAGGATCATGCTGACAATCTCACACGCTTCTCGACCAAACCTATTCGACCAAGATCATTATCCGTGCTGCTTCGAGGTTGGATATGTACGATCCTTCTGAAAATAAAGCCTCCGAGCCATCAAAGCCCTTACAATAGAGATGAAGATGTGATGGATTGGTTTTGCCACTCATCAATATATTGAAACCTCAACGAAACGATGGATGGAAACAGATTTTGGGGGCCCGAATGTACCCATTCCTTGTGCCTGAATACAATAATTCATCCTCCTATTTCAAGACCATCATCCAGAAATTCAATCGGTCCAATGTCGCGGTCACTCTATGCAAACGCCGCCACAGTGCTCTTTATTGAATGATGAAATGTAAACAATCATTGAGCATGAACTCAGTGCATTCGGTGATGGCCGCTTGAGATGATCGACTCAGCATTCTTCCCTCGTATACGTCCCAAATGACAATGATGCACAGGGAAGACCGACATCTGATAAATCAGTGGCATTCTGTCAAGCACTGGGACTGGGTCGAGATTGGAACAGGGGAGCGTTGATCCTCGGTTGGGAGGGGCTTCCCTTGAGTTCTAGTTAATCCGCGGAGTGAATCCCACTTTGTAAAGTGAAGAGAGTGCGTAACGAGGGAGGAGTAGGGACCAGGGTGCGGGAACTGGGGCCAGGAACAGCGATACAGAAGTGTGATGATTCCATATTGAAGTGTAATGCTACATTTGCCCGAGCAGCGTCCTTTGTGAACCCACGCACGTCGATTGGTACTTGAGCCATCTCGTCCACAGTCCGATCGTGTTCAGTTGGGATACAGTCTATCCAGAATGAAACGGGACACTTCCCCTTCCTGGCTTCAGATATCTGAGCCCTGCTGGCTGACTTGTAGGCTCCAGTGAGCAAGCCATGCGATTGTTTCCCGTCCTGGTTGGCAATCTCTTTGTTTTGGTTGGTTTGGGAAGCATGGTCTTGAATACACCCGGCCGATCTCCTGTGGCAATGATCGACTGGCATACCGAGATCATATTCCTGGCTGCATTGATGTCTCGATCCCACAGCGTATGGCAGCTTGTACAGCTCCGTACATAATGTGGTTTCTCGATATCAAGATGCTCGGGTGACTCGAGTCGCTTGGCTTCCCGACAATGTGAGCACACCTGGGACGTGTTGAACTCGTTCACCGAGTACACATGGATCTTGGAGACGGATCGGTCTGGTGGGCGTCTCTGGTGATGGTGGAATTGCTCGAAATACCGAGCGAACCTGAGTCTCCTGGGACTGGATGCATATCCCTTCCCCTGTTCCAGGAGACATTCCCAAAGGCAATCACCACTTCGGTCTCCTTGGACATACTTGCTTGGCCATGAATGCGATGAGTGGGTGGGTGTATTCAGGTTCCAGAAAATACACTGTCCTGGTTAAAAACGGGGCTGTCCCATTTCATTTTGGAATCGCTGTAAATCCACGATGGGTCCAATGATGGCACCTATTGAAAGTTTCCAATAATGAGGGAGGTGTAATCAACACCACGCCCAGGTCAAAGAGGCTTGTGACCATGTTGTATCCCTGCACCTTATTCAGAAAAGCAGGACACCCTCGCGATCGCAATTGTCAGCATAGTATGTGATGAGCTTGCGTCGATCTAAGCCATATGAAGGGCGATTTGGACGGCGACAGTGTTGCTTGCACTGCTCAAAGTACTTGGCATATCGCTGCCTCCTGGGCTGGATGCATAGCTCTTGCCTTGACGCCATGACGCATTGCCAGCGGTGCATGGTGCTTCTGGACACACTGAATATGGAGGCAACTTTTCTCAGGCTATGGATGAGGGCGTAGCACCGCATCACGGAATGGTCATGGCCAGCGCGGATTGGTGTTTGTTGATGAGAAAATCCTTCCACAAAAACCAAGGTGTCCCGTTTCTTTCTGAGTTGAATGTAACTATGGCGTGCATACGTAACAAGAACGTGAAATGATGGCTTGGGAGCGGACGTATATCCAGATACATTGGCAATCAGGCAACCGAAGGGGTGAGAGAAACCGAGACGAGTCTGGTAGGTCTTCCCAATATGGAGCATGACGCTTTTAACCAGTGAAACCCAGAGGGACGGACTTTGGCACAATGAACTGGTACTGGGCCCTGGCACTGGGTGTTGGTTTTTGCCAACCAGGACATTTTACAATCGTCATTGCGGCGATGTCAAGTTTTGTCGAACTCATCCATCCAGTGACAGTTTGGAATCTGCAGCTCCGACTTCCATGTCCAGACTTGTGCTGACATATGCCTGCGGCACTACTTCCTCAGGCTCCTACTGTCGTGCGTGGCGTATCCGAGGGATTGGCGTCCACGACAGACATTCAGTTGCGATGTCATCCAACACCGCCACGACATCCAGCCAGATCGCTGGTCTGTTGTTGAGGATTCGTTCGCGTTTGGCTCGCCATTTGCTCAGTTTTTCCTGGTCGATGGTGACTGGTCTTGCGGGCACTCGAGCTGGCTTGGGGGAGTGCGTCGATTGCAAGGTCGATATACGTGATGTCTTCGGGGATCCTCGCAGGGTGTACATACTGCTCGAGGCGGTTCTTGGCTCGGACACATTCCGACGCATGTTTCCTGTTCACGGGGACTTTGGGACCATTGGGTCCGGGCTTTCTGCACGCTCCGTCAGGTTTGGGAGGGAAGCCACCGACCCTCCAGAGGAACATTCTTCGGGCTTGAGCGACTGATATCACTGGCATCCGTGCGGTCAGGATAGGGTCTCCATCCCATTTGTAGGTGCCTGGGATCGACATCACCTTGCTTGGGTTTCTTTCCTTTTCGTAGAAGCGCATGATCATGGCCTTCTTGATGGGAACGCCTGTTCCTGTCCCCTTCTCGAATAGGGCCGGTCTTGAATGCTCTGGGGAGGTTCTGTGCTGCTGTTCCAGCTCTTTCCAGGTGGCGTTTCCGGTCAGCTTGGAGAGGATCCTTTTGTTTGCATCCCTTGCTGGGAGCTCCGCAATGTGTCTGAGCACCTGCGACGTGAGGAAGCCTGGGTCGCCTCTGCGATCGTACCAGCGGCCGAAGCACTTGATCGTCAGTACTTGTTTCCGAGTTGACATAGAGTATATCCCCGTGACCGCCTGTATCGCCGGCCCGGATATGTTGTGGCGGATGTTGAGGGCGGATCGAAGTGTCTCCATCATGCATCGTTGCAGATCGTTCATCGTGGGTCCGCTCAGATTGATGATGGCAAGGCCGTATTCCAGACGCGGTCGGACAAAGGTCTTGTATATCTTGACTATCAGTCCGGGGTAGATGGATTTGCTGAATATCCCGTGCTTTCTGAGCTCCTTGGTTTGAAGCTGGGCCTTGTGTTTGAGCTTGCTTGCATGGGCTTCCACGTCAATGCCTTCGGGGCCGAATTGCACCCCAAGATATTTGAAGGTGGAGCGGACAAACTCGAGCGGCGTGTTGTTGAGGATGACAGGTGCCGGGTTGGCCTCTGCCGTTGTGACTTCGCATTTGGCTGGCGCGAACATGTAATGATGCTCCGCCGCATGCGCTTCGGATATCCTGATGAGGCTCTGCAGGTCTGCGTGATCTTTTGCAATCAACGCCATGCCAGCGTAGGTTGACCAGTGGTACGAGGCATGTGCAGTGCTGGGGATACGTCTCAACCAATAGAAAAGGGGTATACACGCAAGGCCTGGGCTATCCTGCCGGGCCAAAGGGGCGGACAGGTTTCTTTCACCATCTACATTCCGCTCGGCTTTCGGCTGCAACCGACAACTCTTCCTATCACAGCCCAAATTTTGGCCATGGCTGACAAACCTTGGTACATCCCCGAGGAAGCCATTACCGACTGGTCTCCCGACCCCTTGGCAGCCGGCGGCTTTGGCGAGGTTTTCACTGCCTCATACTATGGCGCCCCTGTCGCCATCAAGCGACTCTATCGAGGCTACAATCAGGGCGAACTCAACGACTTTGGTCATGAGATTGCCATCTGGCACCGACTCAGCCACCCCCATGTCCTTCCCCTCCTTGGTGCCTGCGACACCACCGCCAGGCCTTTCATGGTCTCGCCGTTCATGCCCAATGGCACCCTCCATAGCTACATTTCCACAGCACCCAATCCCCGACCACTTGGCGAGAAGATTCGGCTCCTCTACCAAGTCGCCTCTGGCATGGCCTATCTCCACGGCAACAACATCGTCCATGGCGACCTCAAGTCTCTCAACGTGCTACTTGACACTGGGCTTGGTGCTGTTGTGACCGACTTTGGCATGTCCCGGACCAAACGTACCTCCACCGCGACGAACCACACACGCCGAAATGAGCCTATGGGTGGAACCCTTGATTATATGGCACCGGAAATGCTGGACGATGACAATCCAGTTGGGTCTTCGAAATCTACCGATGTGTATGCGTTTGGTATCACCATGTACGAAGTCCTCAACAACTGCAAGTCCATCTGGGTCACCGCTGATGGCCAGCCAATGAGGGAGAGGGTCATTGAGTCTCAAGTTCTTCGAAATCATCGGCCCAAGCGAGTTGTAGACATCCCTGACAACATTTGGGCCTTGATCGAACGCTGCTGGCATCAAGATTCTGCCCAACGGCCCAAGTTTCTCGAGATTCTGAGCTTTCTCCGTCAACTTACCTCTCAAGATCCGCAGCAAGTTGATATGCGGATGCCTGTTGTACCCACTGCCCTTCACCGAGCCGAGCCTTTCTGGTCCGTCCAACAAGCACCATCTCTCAGACCAACACTGCCCACTCCTTTGATCCAGCAAACTCCCTCTTTGGTGAAAATGGTTCCCGCAGGTAGCCCGATGTCTGAGACGAGCCTGGCGGACGCACTCCGGATGCTACGTTTTGACGGTGATGAAGGCTTGAAGTCGGACGAAGACAGCGACAGTGAATTTGAACTCTGGTTCGCGGTCGCTGGTAGTAACGATAACGACCGCTTTCAAGCTGCATTTACGGACGTTTATGCCCAGACTCGCAACCAGCAACAAATCGGGTTGTTCATTGCTGTCATCGCTATGTCACAGTCTCCCCTTTCGATCCGCATGATCGCTGATCTCTTCAGTATCGACGCTGGAGTCGTCCACCGGTATATCAAGGACCTTGCGCCAATTCTTTATTCGAATAGACTGGATCGTGAGATACACGACGACTCGATAGTCAAAGTTCAGAACCATAAATCGATGGTCGCCTATTTGGTCGGAAACGAATCCATCAACGAGCCATTCCATGTTCCTTCCATATTTCACATGTCCTTCGCCTCGCAGTGCTTGGTAAAGATCCTCTCACACGAGCCAGTGGTCAACATCTGTGGTATCTACGACTTTCACGACAAGATATGTGACTTGGAAGACCTGGCCAGAACCAAGATCGCACCATCACTTCGATACAGTGTTGCTCACTGGATTACCCACTTTGTATGGTGCATCAATGACCAATATTTCGGCCAGCAAATCTGGAAGCAGTACCGCCTATCTGGCCTGAGGGACTTGCTCAATCGGTTTCTCTCAAGCCACATCTTCTTTTGGCTCGAAGCTGGCTCGCTCACTGGCGTCATCCCAAAGCTGACCGATCAGATTGGCTCGCTTCATAAAGCGCTTGACATGGCGCCCAGGATGGTTTTTGATGATCTCAGCAAGGAGTTGGTCAAAGATATTCGTCGGTTTATGCAAGAGTTTACTGACCCAATTGTTAGGAGTGCACCACAAGTATATACTTCCGGTTTTGCGTTCACTCCGAAGGAAACCGCTATTTACAAGATATATGCTTCCCGACTCGAGGACAAGATCCCATTCCTAATCACTCGATTTGTCAAAAGTCACTGGGACTCCTCAGAGATATCAATCGACGGATACGCTGGCGGCAAAGCCTCGATTGCTGTTTCACCAGATGGGGCCTGGTTCGTCTCGAAAGCAAGTGGTGGCATCATCAAACTATGGGATACTGCAACAGGGGAGATGAAAAAAACTTTTCCGTGGCATACGAATATTGCCACCATGACAATTTCCCAAGATAGCAGAGCGATCGTGCTTGTCAAATCTGATCTCACCATCCAGCATTTGGATGTCAGTTCCGGTCAGATAAAGAAAACGTTTACTGACCACTCGAACAAGGTATATCAATCAGCAATCTCACCGAATGGCAAGTTTGTGGCGGTTATCGACCAAGAGGACTACAATAGGATCAAAATCTGGGATACTACTACCTGCAGTCTGAATCGCACTCTCGAAGGGCATACCGATAATGTATTCACCGTCGAAATCACTCCCGACAGCGAATCTGTCGTCTCTGGCTCGGCTGACAAGACCATTAAGGTTTGGGACGCTACCACGGGCCAACTTAAGCAAACCTTCATGGGTCACACAGACTGGGTGCGGTCCGTTGCCATTTCGCCGAATGGGAAGTCGATCGTTTCGGGCTCTCACGACAAGACTATCAAGGTATAGAATGCCACAACGGGCCGAATGAACCAGATTCTGAAAGGTCATACAGGGTGGGTAATGTCCGTAGCTATCTCACCCGATGGCAAGTCGATTGTCTCTGGATCTCATGACAAGACTGTGAAGGTGTGGGATGCTACCACGGGCCAAGTGAAGCACATCCTCAAGGGTCATACAGCATGGGTTTTTTGCGTAGTTATCTCCTCGGACGGAAACTCCATCAAGTCCAGTGCCCCTCGTGAAGAATTTGTTTGGGTCCGTCGTGGCGACGGGTTTATTCGCTCCTCCGAGAACCCAGCCAACTTTGTCGCAGCAGCCGGTCACCCCAAACCACTCTCCTTGCCCGAGTGGGTTGAAATCGACTGGGACAGTCAACCTCAATGGATCCGCCATGGGAGCTACGCCATCAAAGTCCCACTCTACTTTGGACGTCCAAGTGACGAATTCGTTCGCCACATCCTGGTAGGTTAATTTCATTTACATCTCTGCTTCCCGCTGTAGCGGACTGGAGATGGGTCGGGGAGTGAGACTGATGAGCTGGTGGAAAACCAATCGGGCGAGCGGAATAGATGGCGTGGGAACAGATGAGTCTTCAAACAGGCAGGCAAGCTGGGCAGGCAGCAGGGCGAGATGAACAGAGAGACTCTTGCTGTCCTGAACACGCGACATGTGACGGCTGGGCCCAGTCATTACAACTTCCGCATTCCACTACTTACTGCCGTTCGCCAATTCCGACCAATTAATTTCACCATCGAGAGCCTATGTACCTCAATACCCCTGAGATCCAACTTGCTTTTGCCAACTACCTCGATAGCTCATCTGACTCCGAGATTCGAACTCGTGCTAATGTCGTCCTAACAGGCCCAATTATGATGGCGTATTATGAAGAACAAGCGAGAAAGGCTGAGGAAGCAAGAGAAACAGAAGAATTGAGTAGAATAGAAAAATTGACAAGAAAAACAGAGGAGGCCGCGAGCCCGAAGGGACTCACCAAATGGTTCCGCTAGCCAACACCTGAAAAATATGAAATATAGTGCAAAAAGGAACATTTTTCACCTGAGTGAATGATAGAAAAATACGAACCACCGGTGCCGGATAACACTATGTATAGGTAAGTGGGAGATATCTGTTATGAATGCGGCCTCCGATAATGCGATGTAATTCGTGACCCTTGCTCAATGGCCACCTGGTCGCGATTCATGACCGCGAGAAACATAGGTCGGGGTGAGTATATTCCCCGAAGGGCGAGTGAAGGGAGGTATGCATTGACGTAAATAGACCATCTCTGTAGGAGATGGTATCTCCGACGCTGTGCTGCGCGTACTGCGCGTACTGCGCGGCGCAGTGGGTCGTGACCTGTGCTGCGCTTTGCGTTTTCACGCACCGCAGGCAGGCCACCGCAGGGTATACCTGCGGGTTGCCCCCGTTCCCCCCGTTTGTCTGGAGTTCGGTTTTATCGTGAATAAACGTAAGTGCTCCCCGAGCTCACCCGTCCGCTAGAGTAGCCTAGCACCGCCCTGTTCTGCCCCGTCCTGTCTTGTCTTGTACCCCCTCCCTCCCCGTCTTGCCCCAACGTCCCAGTAGTGGACGTTACATGGTAGCATCGGAAATCCTCGTCTTGTTTTCGTCCTGTTTGTCCTCTTTCTAGATCCTCAAGCTGGATCCCGCCTCTCTTGCCGACCGACTCTCCTCTCTGTCCCTGGAGCCTGCCCCTGCCATGAGCAACCCCCGCCCACTTCCGGAAGCCTTCCTCAAGACCTTCCGTGCCCCAGTGTTTACTGGGAAGAGCCGCTCCTCCTCGGTGGAGGACTGGCTGCAGCAACTCGAGGACTACCTCGATGCTGCCCAAGTCGCCCCCACCCACCACATCGTCGCCGCCAAGCTCTGCTTAAAGGACCAGGCGTACCGTTGGTACCGCCGCCAAGGGTTCGACGAGCAGAGCGAAGGTGTGTTTGACGACTTCAAGGACCGCCTCCGTCGCCGCTTCGGCAGCCCCAATGCTGAACTCATTGCCCGTGACAAGCTATACTCTCTCGTGCAGCGTGGTTCTGTGACCCGCTACATCGAGGAGTTTGAAGACCTCTCCTCCCAGATTGAGGAGCTGGGCTCTGCTGATGCGATGTACCTCTTCCAGAAGGGCCTCAAGCCCAAGATCAGAGAGTACATCGCCAGCAACCCTGATGCCCGCAAGTCCCTGGACGTGATGATGGACGTTGCCGAGAACCTCGACAACGTCCAGTACCATGGCCGCCAGTTCTACCCGCAGCTGGCAGGCGGCCATCGGTCTCATCACGTCCCAGCCCGTCCGCCTCGCCCGGCCCCGCCCGCAAGACCCATGCCTGAGCCCATGGACGTTGACGTCAACGCCATGGAGGCTCGTGGCCCTCCCCGCTCCCGGTTCCAGCAAGCTGCCACTGTCTCCCCCAAGGACAGACAGAAGCAGGAGGACCTCCGCCATGGTTCCTGCTTCTTCTGTCACCGACCGGGACACCAGGCCAAGGAGTGCCCCATGAAGTCGGGAAACGGCCGACCCTACTAGGTGGCTCTGGAGCCCTAGTAGGAGACCAACGCCGTGGATTGCTCAATGCAGTCCACGCGTCTCCAGAGGAAGTTCACCTCGCCCCCTCCCCCGAAGGAGAAACAAACCAAGTGTTGTGCGTCGTGCGAGAGGTGCATGGTGGCGCAAGCCGCCTGCCTCTCCACGAACGTGAAGAGAAAACCAAAATTGAAAACCAAAACAAAAAAGAAAATCAAGAACCCTTGAGGGACAGGACCGCCTGTGCCCTCACCCCTGTCAAGTCGTGTGTGTCGGATGCTTCCGACATGTGTCCGCAAGCCGTGGACGTCGTGTGCAATGGCGTGCTGACGCCGCAGGCCCCCGCAATGGCCGAACCCTATCCAAAATGTCCGAGTGGCCGTGATGAAGCCAACCAAGACCAAGTGTCGCCCGTTCCCCCAAGTCAAGTCATGGTGCAGGAGGCTGTGCAGGAGGACCATGAAGAGTCCCTGCTGTACCTCCCTGCCACCGTCCAAGGTCACACCGTCCGAATGATGGTGGACTCTGGAGCAAGCTGCAACTTTGTCAGCAGACGCTTGCTCCAGGAGCTCAACATACATGCAACCAAGAAGAAGTCGCCGATGAGTGTGGCGCTTGCAGACGATCGTGTGCAGCA